CCGCTGACATCAAAACTGCACACTCACTGCCGGTACCGGCCCCGGCCCCTCATCCCCACCCACCCGGGCCCAGCCAGCGACCCCGGCCGCGTGGGGGGCTCGGGGGACACGGGTGGGTCCCCACAGCCCTGGTGGCACCGCGGGGGAGGGCGCAGGGATGAGGGATGCCGCGCTGCTCCGAGCGGCTGGGATGCTGGGCACCCCACGGAAGGGACACGGGGACCCCAAAACTCGGGGAAAGCCCAAGGCAGGGGACGGGGGGATGCTCACGGAGCGCTGCCGAGCGCCCCCGGCCATCCCACGCTGGGGACAGCAGCGTCGCTCATCCCCCGGGCACCCCACGCAGGGATGCTGAGCCCGCGGGCAGCCCACGCAGGAACAGCGCGCAGGAACGGGGAGCTCCCCCGCACAGCCCACGGCAGGAACCGGGGACACGCGGGACGCTCAGAGGCTCGTCCACGCCATGGGGACACTCGGATCGGGACACCCCACGCGGGGACACGAGGATGCTGCCCCTGAGCATCCGCCTCCAGCGAGAAAACACCGAGAAAACACCGAGAAAACACCGAGAAAACAGCGGAAAGGCACCGGGAAGGCACCGCGGAGGCACCGCGGAGGCGCCGGTTCAGCCCCGCGGGGCGGCCCCAGGCCCGGCGGCGGGCCCCGGCGGGCTCGGTACCTTTGTAGCGCTCCAGCACGTCCTCGTAGGCCTGCACGAACTCCTTCTCCTGGCTCCGGTTGGCCGGGAGCAGCCCCGGCACGTACCCGGCCATGGCGGCCTTTGTGCCCCGCGCTGGGCGCAGCTGCCGCCGGCGCGGCCAAGGCCCGTCTGTGCCGGGGCCGCTTCCGCCGCGCCGCGCCCGGCACGGGACCCGCCCCTGGCACCGGGACCCGCCTCTGGACCCGCCTCTGGACACCGGGACCCGCCCCGGGACCCGCCCCGGGACCCGCCTCTGGGCACCGGGACCCGCCCCGGGACCCGCCCCGGGACCCGCCCCTGGGCACCGGGACCCGCCTCTGAACCCGCCTCTGGGCACCGGGACCCGCCCCGGGACCTGCCTCTGGGCACCGGGACCCGCCCCGGGACCCGCCTCTGGACACCGGGACCCGCCCCGGGACCTGCCCCGGGACCCACCTCTGGAAACCGGGACCCTCCCCCCCCCCGGTTGACACGGGACACGCCCCGGGACACGTCCCGGGACACGGCCTTGGGTCGTGCCCACCGGCAGGGACAAGCCCCTAGACCCGCTCATGGCTCCCGGGACATCCCAAAACCGGCCCGGTAACCGCCCGTGGGACACTGCTGTGGAGGGGACACTGCTGTGGAGGGGACACTGCCGTGAATGGGGACACTGCTGTGGAGGGGACACTGCCGTGGGTGGGGACACTGCTGTGGACACGCCCCCGAGTCCGAAATTAGCATGGCCACGCCCATCCGAGCAGTCTCCGCCCACCTGACCGTGTTTGCCCCGCCCTTTTTGAGGCCACACCCCCCGAACAGGCCCCGCCCCCTGTGCCCGCCCCCGGCTCGCCGCGACCCCTGGCGGCCACTCGGGGCAGCGCGGGGGGACAACGGGGGGACACAGAGGTGACATCGGGGATTATACTGGGGGTAACATAGAGGTGACACAGGGGTGACATCGGGGACTACACTGGGGGGGACACAGGGGTGACATCGGGGACAACGGGGGGACACAGGGGTGACATCGGGGATTACACTTGGGGGACACAGGAGTGACATCGGGGACTACTCTGGGGGGACACAGGGGTGACATCTGGGACTACACTGGGGATAACATAGGGGTGACATCGGGGACTACACTGGGGGGGACACAGGGGTGACATCGGGGACAATGGGGGAACACAGGGGTGACATCGGGGACTACATTGGGGGGGACACTGGGGTGACACTGGGGATTATACTGGGGGGACACAGGGGTGACATTGGGGACTACACTGGGGGGGACACAGGGGTGACATCGGGGACTACACTGGGGGGACACAGGGGTGACATTGGGGATTATACTGGGGGGGACACAGGGGTGACATTGGGGACTACACTGGGGGGGACACAGGGGTGACATTGGGGATTATACTGGGGGGGACACAGAGGTGACATTGGGGACAACGGGGGGACACAGGGGTGACATCGGGGACTACACTGGGGGTAACATAGGGTGACATCGGGGACTACACTGGAGGGACACAGGGGTGACATTGGGGATTATACTGGGGGTGACACAGGGGTGACATCAGGGATTATACTGGGGGGGACACCGGGGTGACATCGGGGTGACATTGAAGATTACCCTGGGGGTGACACACGGGTGACACTGGGGTGACAATGGCTGTGATACCAGGAACGACACCAGGGAGTGACACTGTGTGTGACACTGGGGGGTGACACTGGGAGTGAGTGACACTGGAGGTGATACTAACACCAGGGGGTGACACTGGGAGTGACATTGGGGACAACACAGGAGGGTGCCTGACACAGGCAGTGACACCAGAGGGTGACACAGAGGGGTGACAGCGGGACTGACACCGGGGGTGACACCCTGCACTGCCTGGAGGGGACCCCTCAGCATCACCTGGAGAGGAACGGGCAGGAACAAGGGGGCCCTGAGAATCAGCTGGGGGACTTTGGAGGGGACAGAGAGGGGACAGTGGGACAGAGCCAACCCCCGCCGGGTTTGGGAAATGGGGGTTCAGGGCAGCCTGGCGCTCCCGTACCCACAGAAACCCCACTCAGCCCCCCAAATCCCCGCTGAGCTGACGGAGCAAAACCTCCCGTGGAAACAGGAGCGTGAGAGTGGCTGTCCCCAAGCCAGGGGACACCCCAGGCCCCCCAACACCCACCCACAGGACACCCCCTGGCCATCCCCCCCGCCAGTCCCACCCCCCTCACCGGGGCATCTCATTTTTGGCCATCTCAAGATGTTGCTTTTTCACCCCGATGCGCCGTTCCCATGGCAACTGGAGGGCCCGGCTGGGTAACCATGGCAACGAGAAAAGCCCCATCCCGCTCCCACAGACCCCCCGTGTGTCCCCTCCGTCACCCGGGGACCCCCGAGCCCCCCCAGGGTGGGGAGGGCCGCACCCCACATCCCTCCAGGGAATGAGGAGGGAGCAGGGGCAGCACCTCCATCTTCCTCCTCCTCCTCCTCCTCCCCCCGCAGCCCCCGGCCTGGGGTGGGGTTACACAAATCCCGCTTTTGGAGGCATCTCCCTTTCAGCTTGGCGCCTTAATTAGGAGAAGTAATTAACGCGGGGTGCCCGGCCGCATCCCCGGCAGAGCCTCGGTGGGGAGGAGGGTTTGGATGGCGGCGACCTCGTGGCGGGGCCTTTGTGCCCGGCGGTGCCAGGCGCGCATCCTCAGCGGAGCAACGGCCGGAGAATCCCCTGGGAACGGCCCGAAAATCCCCCGGGAACGGCTCAGCTGCCCCGGCACGGAGCTGCCACATCCCTCTGACCCAAAACCGCGTTCCCAGGCAAGGGAAATGTGCACCGGCCAGCTGGCACTCCGCGATTCCTGCTCGGAACCTGCCCCGGGCCGGCGGAGAACGGCGGAGACGGCAGAGAACGAGGGGGTTTGTCCCGTGTCCGGCTCCCTCCCGCTGCCTCTGCCCGGGTGACAAAGGACTCCCAGGAACCTTTTCAAAGAGCCTTGGACAGCCCCTGCGACGCCTCGTCCATCACCCCCTGGCAGCCCGGAGTGCCCCGGCCCCTCCTGCCCCAGCCCGGCCCTGGCAGCGCCGAGTGCAGGCGGATTTAGGATGAAAGAACCCCTTTTTTCCCCCTAAAAGCGCCACCCCCGCCCACCCTCACCCTCTGCCAAGCGCCTGGAGCGAGAAAGCAAGGCAGGGCCAAGGGTCACACTCTGACCCTCCACGTCCTGCTCCCCCCTCCCCTCCCAGGAGATGCCAGAAAAGCAGGGAACGGCTCCAGAGCTGCCTGGAGACCTGGGCCAGCGAGTCCCAGCCCCCCACGGGCCCTCCCTGGGCTCTGTCCCCCTGTCCTTGGCTCTGAGTCCCCTCAAAACCAAGATCCCTGTGTCCCCCAAACCCACAAAGGTGCCACTCCTTCTGTGTCACCTCTACAAGGTCCGTGGTGGCACAAGGGTGGGGCTCCCCAGCCCCAAATGATGCCCAGGCTCCATCCCCAGGCCCTGGTGCCCCTTCCTGGGGTTCCCAAAAAGCCAAGCCCCCATTGCCCTCCCCTCAGCTCACTGAGAGGTGCCAGGTCCCCCAGAGCCACTCCTCAGGCCACCATCCCACTGGGAAGAGGCACTGGGGCAGCCGGCGCCCCGCAGACGTTCCCACTGAATAATGCAAGGACCTGAATCAATATTTCAGCTCATTTTCAAACTTGGTGACACAAAACTGTCTCGGAACTCTTCTTTTTCTTTTTTTTCACAGCTCAGCACTGTCTCACTGCACCTCCCGAGTTATTTTTAATGGGCAAACTGCATGAGACCGAATTTTGTGACATCCCCCTGCCTTTCATCACGGGCTGGATCCAGCTGGGTGACAACAAGCACTCGGCACCCCGGGCAGAAATGGAGCTGGGGAATGGCTGGGCCTTGGCAGAATCCATCCCTGGCGTGTGGGAGGATGGGGATTTTGGGGCAGAGCGGGTCCATGAGAAGCAGTGAACACGGCAGGATCCCGGTACCCCTCCATCTCCCAGCCCCAGGGATTTGGGATTGATTTGGGATTTGGGATTTGGGGCAGGGCCAGCCGCACCCTGCACATTTGCCTGTCCCAGCCCCAGACGGTGCATTCTCAAGAACCATCATTTGAATCAACTGGTTCTTCCAGCCCCAAGATCCCCGGGCTGGCACGGCCGGATCCCCGGGCACCCCCGTGCCATGGGGCAGGCAGGGAGAGAGGGAGCAGCACCCCACGGCCACCCCTGGCCTGGTGGCACCTGCCCCTGTGCCAGTGTGTCCCTGCTGCCCAGTGCTCCCAGTCTGTGTCCCCAGCACTGGGGCTGGTTTTGTCACCCACTGGGCAGAGTGGGCACCTCAGGGGTTTGTCACCCCTGTGCCCACCCCCAGCAGGGAGATTAAAGCCCAGCCCCGGGTTCTTCTTGGAGCAACAGGCAGGAGCAGCCTGGCCAGGGCTCAGCAGGGGTCCCTGAGCACGGCCCCCATTCCCAAATCCCCGGCCCCGATTCCCAAATCCCCGTTTGCTCCGGCAGGAGCAGATCAAAGGGGATGCGGACAGAGCCCGGCAGACACAGATCAAAGCCCCTGACGGCCATTTGGCCCCAGCGAAGAATCAGATCGCAGCTCTGGTGCCTGGAGGCCCCACCCTGAGCAGATCCCCCCATCCTCCCTCCCCAACCCCCAGAGCAGCGCCTGGACCAGGAGCCCTCGGCCAAGGTGGGTCCGTCCCTGTGTCCCTGTCTTTGTTTCTGTTTCCCGGCCCTGCTCCTTCCCCGAGCTGTGACTGCCTCAGCAGCATGGCAGAAGGGACACACGGAGCGCTGTCCCCTCCACTCGGGGACACCAGCACGTCCCAGTGAGCGCAGCCCTGGAGCTGCCCATGGGCACCACAAAGGAGCAGCCCCAGCTCCATCAGCCGGCCCGGAATCCCCAACCTCCCCGGGCAAATTCCTCCCCGGAGTTCAGCCGAGGGCATTGTTCCACCGAGGAGCCGTTCAGTCCTTAATTAAGCATTTTAATGTCACCCAAGCCGCGAGTTGGAGGCGCCCAGTCATCCCTTAACCCCAGTGCTGAGGGATGAACCGCCCGGGGCGAGCCTGGAGAAGACAAAGCCAGGGCAGAGACAAACCACCACCCTGCTCCTCGGCCACCAGCGCCACATCCATCCTCCCCTCCTCTCCCCACCCATCCCCAGGCTCCCTGAGGAGCTGCGGGGCACAGAGGTGACCCCAAGAGCACCTCAGTCACCGCGGGGGAGCCCCGAGAACCCCCGGGGGGAACCAACAAGGCGCTGCCTTACCTGCGACCCTGACGACAGCCCTCTCGGCCGGGTCCAGCACCGAATCCTGACTCTTCCTCTTCCTCTGCTCGTGGAGGGGTAAATTCCAGGGCAAGGTGTCCCCGGGGGGGCAGGGGGAGAGGCTGCCCGAGCGCTCGCTGCGGTAGGAGCGCTCGCTCCGGCACGACCGCTCGCTCCGGCAGGAGCGCTCGCTGAGGGTCTCCTCGTCGGAGGACGACATGGCCCAGGGCAGGGGCAGGAGGGCGGGCAGGACGTCCCCGCGGGCAGCGACACCCTGGAGAAGGAGCAAACAGCGAGTGACACCGGCCCGCCGGCCGCGGGGCCCTCCCCGCCACTGGAGCTGCGGGTGGTGGAGAAGGGATCGCCCACCATGGATGTCTCTGCCCTCCTGGAGGTTCTGAATGCTGCCTCAGTTTCCCCCTTGGGGGGTTCCCAGGGATGGGGACAGTGGCACGGCTGCTCCTCTACCAGCAAAGCTCACGCTGGCATCCCTGACTCACTCCCACAAAGCCAAGTCCAACCTTTTGGGCTCGATTTCTTTGTGCTCGGCGCAAGAAGGAGCATCAGCTCGGCTCTGCCCTTTGTACCTGCAGGTTTTTCCCCTCTGACAGCGGGGATGGCTTTAAAAAATCTTATTAATCATGGCAGAGGAAGATGGTAGGGCTTTCTGGAGCACGCCGGGAGTGAGCTGTGCCGCGTATACACGCTGGGCAAATAAGCACCTTGCGTGAGACATATTTAAAATAAATCTCATTGTGTCCTCTAGCACGGCCAGGAAAAATGCCTGAGACTCCTACAAGCGATGTGCCGCGGCGCAGGAGCCGCCTCCATCACGCCGAGCCTTTCCTTATTCCCATCATTTAATCAGCAAAACAGGAACAAAGAGACCCAAAAAAACATTGAAAGAAACGGAGAAAGGATTCCATGAATCATTCACCCCCCATTGAAAAGCTGCGAAAAAATGAATCGCGGCCCAAAACCCCGGCAGCCCCGAGGGGCTCAGCCCGCGCCCGGCTCTTGGGGGACCCCCGGGTGTGGGGCTGGGGGGGCTGCGGGGCCGGGCGGGGTTCGGAGCCCGGGGAGCGGCAGGGCCGGGGGCTGCGGCGGTTGGAGGCGGGTTTGCGGCACGGCCGGGGGGGCAGCAGGTGCGGGAGGCAGCGGGGCGCGGGCACGGCTCTGCGGGGGCACACGGGGCCGGTGTGCCCCCCCCGGGCCCTGCTCCCACCTGCTCCTACCCTTCCTCCCGGTTCTCTCCGGTGCCCGCAGCTCCAGCCCGGCCCCGGCGGCTGCTGCCCCCTTTTCCCGGTCCATCCCCATCCCCACCCGCCGCCCTTCCGCGCTCCATCCCCGCCGCATCCCCGCGTCCTGCCCTTCCCGCTCCATCCCCCGCTCTGACCCTGCGCTCTCCCGCTCCATCCCCGCCGCTTCCCCGCTCCATCCCCGCTCCATCCGCCGCCTTTCCCCGCTCCCTCCCCGCTGCGCAGCCCCGGCTCCGCTCACCCCCGCCGGCGCTCCGGTACCGGCCCGGCCCCGCCGTGCGCTCCCGGTCCGGCCGCTCCCGGCCCCGCCGTGCGCTCCCGCCGCCGCGGCGCCTCCCCCGGCCCGGCCCGGCCCTGCCCACCGGGCGGCGGGGAGCGGCGGGGGGGTCCCGGCCGCCTCCCGCCCCGCACAGCCCCGGGACCGGCCCCGCCGCCCGCCCCCGCGCCAGCACAACCGGCACCTCCACCCCGGGCACCCCCGGGCCGGCCTCGGGCACCCCCCTCGGGGCTCCCAGCCTGCGCCCTCCAACCTGCCCGGGCTCCCCGGGGCACCCCAACGCCCGCTGCCTCCCCACCCTGCGCCCCCATTGCACAGGGGGTGCCCCCCAAGCACCCAGCAGCTCCCCGCACCCCACAGACCCCCCCGGCATCCTCGCAGCATCCCCGCTCCATCCTCATCCTCATCCTCCGGCTGCCCCCAGGCCCAGGGGAATTGGAGCAGCCATCGATCGGGGATCGGGGATCGGGGCCGCAGCGGGGCATGGCGGGGGACACCACAGGGTGCGGGGCACAGGCTGGGGAAGGTGCGGAGGGCAGCGCCGGGAGGGCCGTGAGCCGCCCAGGGCCTCACCTGCGGGGCAGCCGCGCATCCCAAGCGCAGCCGAACGCGTCCCAGCGCCAGGCGCGGCGCGGGCAGGGACACCAGGAGCAGCCCGAAGGGGTGGCGGAGCTGCAGGACAGCCCCAGCCGCCTGGCAGGAGTGAAGCAGGCTGAACCGCTCCGGCTGACGGCACATCCAACCGCCCCGCACCGACGGCGGCATCCCACGGGCAGCGGCGGCGGCTCCGTGCCACGGCCCCGGGCCAGCGCGGCCGCTCCCGCGGCGCCGCACCCGGCCCGGCCAAGCCCGGCGCCCCGGTCCCCCCGGTCCCCCCGGGGTTTCGGCGCTGCCGAGTGCCCCGTGGGCATCTCTCCCCCGCCGGTTTTCAGATCTCATCCCAACAGCTCTGCTTCCCCGCCGCGTGTTTTCCTGAGTGCTTCCAGCCACGGGGTGGGACGCGGTGGAGGACACACACGGGGCGTGGGGTGTGGTGACAGCCGCTCCTGGACGCGGCTTGGGACGTGGCTGGAGAGGAGCACGTGTTGCCCCGCGGGCCTGCCCGTGGGATGAAGGGATGGGGAGGAAACACTCGGCCAAAACCCGCCCGGGTGTGGACACGCCAGTGGGGTGACCCCACAGACGCGAGGGCAAGGCCTCGAAGAGGCAAGGTCCAGTTGGGAATGTGGGAGCTGGGAACCCTCGTGGTGCTGGGGAACTGCGGGCAGAGCAAAGGGTGTACTGGATGGAAAAGGGTGTGCTTGTGGGCTGGCACCAGGTGACAGCGGCAGGGCCATCACCCTGGTGCCACCCTGGTGCCACCCTGCCGCTGCTTTCTGCGCACACCCTCGGAGCGTGCTGATCGCTGATGGATAAACGCGCTCAGGCTCAGGGGGGTCTGCGCTTCCCATCATACAGGGATCCCCAAAAGCCGTGAGAGCTGCGGAGCAGGGGAGGCTCATCCCGGCAGCCCCAGAGGCGCTGGGAGGAGAGAAGCGCCTGGAGAACCAGACGCTGCCGCAGCGCCGTGCCCGAAGCTCCCGGACGGGTTGGGCGGCTCAGCCGCGTCTCTGCAGCGCTGCCGGTGCCGAGAGAGCGGCCGCGACCGGTCCGGCCCCCGGGACACACCGGGGAGATGCTGTGACACCCTCGGTCACCGCCTCGGTGACCGGGCACCGCTCGCCCTCGGGGCTCACGGCCCGCCCGGCTGCGGGAAGCGCACGGTGACGCGTGTCTTTGTGTCACCAGGTGTCTTTGTGTCACCAGGTGCCTTTGTCACCCCGCGTGGCACCAGCCGGGCTCCAGCCTCCTCCCTCCCGCTCCTCCGGGAGCAAACGCAGCCAATTCCAGCCGTGCTGAATCCCGGAGGAGCGCGGGCGGCCGGGAGACGCTTCCAGCCCGCGTGGATCTGACAGGCGGGACGCGCTTCCCGAAATCCCTCGCTGGATTATTTGTGCTGCCAATCTGGGTTAGGATCCTGCGTTGTTTTGCCTGCGTGGAGACAGGGAATCGTTATTTCGGGAGGAAGGGGGAGGCAGGTTCTCCCTAAATAATTTAAATTCCCTGTTCCTCTGCTCAGCAGGATTGAGGGGACCCCTGGGACCCCGAGTGCCGAGACCTTGGACATCCACAGGGATGCAGGGAGAGGTCTCCTGGTGCAGATCGGCCAGAACCTGGCTCTGCCCCCAGAACCGTCCCCTCTCCCTCATTAAAACCTCTGCCTAAGCCCAGGGCTGAAATCTGCCTTTTCCCTTGACTTTTGATAAATTATTCATCTCCTGAGAGTTGTTTGTTCCCCCTCTCAAGGCAGAGAGGAGCTGCAGACGATGCACAGCACATCCAGGGCTGTGGGAGCTGCAGGAGGTGGGGGCTCAGCCCAATCCCAAATCCCAGAGCCCAACTCCCACTCCTGGGGGCTAAAGGTTGTAGGAAAAGGGGAATGAGGGGCTGGGGGGAGGGATGGTGCTCTGCCCTCACCAGCTCCTGCCCAGCCAGGGCTGTGTCCATGACAGAAGCAGCTCCCCACGGAGATTTCCCACCCCATCCCAGCCCCGCTGCCTCCCACCCAGCTGGGACGTGGCATCACCCCCTGCCAAAAAAGCGACAAAAAAGGCAAAGAGCAAAATATAAATTTGGAACTACTACAGGCTGGATATGGATCCTGTTCAGGCTTCGTGGTGAACCACACTGTGCAGCTGAGGATGCTCCAAATCCCTTTGCCCAGGGGAACTCAGTCAGGAGCATCGGATCCATTTTCGATCCCTGCTGCTCAGCCAGAGCCTTGGCCTCCTCCCAACAAAGCTGGGACGTGTTTTTATTTTAATTTCTCCATCAATTTGATTGTTTTCATCACGTCTTTGATTATTCCCTTTATTGGTGCAATTCCTGACAGAGCTTTTAACTCCAGCAAACGGATTCTCCTGGCTGTGGCTGCGCCGATCGCCGGCGCAATTCGATTTTGAACGGATCTAAAGAGCCACTCGGGAGTCAGGAGCGTTCGGATGCATCCCAAAATTTCCTCTGACATCTGGATGCTCGATGGGATGAGTCACTCTCCACACCAGTCAGCTGCCAGGACTTTTGCTGAGCATGGTTTTTGTTTTTTTTTTCTTCCTCTCCCTGGAAAAGCAATGCTTCTAACCAAAACAGGGTTTTTCCCCCCAAAACAGCAATTCCTGCCTGGGAGTTTTGGCCCCTGCTGCTGCGTGGCTTCGGGTGTCACCAGCCCTCACATCCAGCCTGGGAGGAAATTGTGATGCCACTGGCAAAACTCCACCAGAAAAGTCATCCCCAAAGTCTTCTCTGCACTCCTGGTGCCTCCACCATTGCACATCTCTTTGGGAAAGGGAATTAATAATAATTAATTACCATCCATTAATGAGTGATTCCAAGTGTGAAGGCTCATGAAGATTTGACCTCCTGGCTGGTTCTGCTTCCCAAATTTCCATCGGTGGCTGAAATCCAGGGAGTGGCCCTGGGGAGCTGTGCTTTGGTGAGGGATCAGCTCCTGGAGTAGCTGAGCCCTGCTCAGACCTTCAGGGTGCTCCATGTCCCCAATCCTCCAGCCACAGCCCCATCCCCTCCTCACTCCTCCTCCCCAAATCCCCCAGGAGAGTCCACTGAGGATAAATCCCTCCCGTGGACAATCCACTGAGGATAAATCACTCCAGTGATCAATCCATTGAGGATAAACCACTCCAGTGATCAATCCACTGAGGATAAATAATTCCAGTGATCATCCACTGAGGATAAACCACTCCAGTGATCAATCCACTGAGGATAAACCACTCCAGTGATCAATCCACTGAGGATAAATCACTCCAGTGATCAATCCACTGAGGATAAATCCCTCCCGTGGACAATCCACTGAGGATAAATCACTCCAGTGATCAATCCACTGAGGATAAATCATTCCAGTGATCAATCCACTGAGGATAAATCACTCCAGTGATCAATCCACTGAGGATAAATCACTCCAGTGGACAATCCACTGAGGATAAATCACTCCAGTGATCAATCCACTGAGGATAAATCAATCCACTGAGGATAAATCACTCCAGTGATCAATCCACTGAGGATAAATCCCTCCCGTGGCTCCGTGGCACTGCTCGATTTCCATCCCCAGCACCATTTCCCCTCTTTCTCCATCCTTTATTTGTTCTGGCAGCTCTGTAGCCTCCCCAGTCCTTTTCCACCCGAAGCCATTCCCTTTTCCTCACGTGGTTCCCATGTTTTCCCCTCCTTGCCCGTTTTTACAGCTGGAATGCTGAGATCCATGGAGCACTGATATCCTGAGGTTGGTTTTCCTCTGCTCAAACACATTAGCACCAGAGTTTTCACATTTAAAGCAGCAATTAGAATCCCTGAGGATTAACAATCTCCATCAGTTACTGCAAGGACAGCCAGGAATTAGCAAGGATCCAGCCAGGATGGGGTCTTGGGTCATTTATTCCTGCTTTGGGCAGGAAACAGGAGAAAATATCAAAATTGGTGGAAAAAAATGTTAAAAGGCCATTATTTCCAGAGTTATCCAAATGAGAGGGAACACACAGGGCAGGGGGTGGATCAGCAGTGCCAAACAAAGGCAGGCACAGGGAAGAGCCACTCCTGGGACATGGATGTGGCCCTGGCTCAGAGGATTTGATCCCAGAGTGGGAATTTGGAGCTCCCCCAGTGCCTGCCCTGCCAGGGAGAATCGTGGCTGTGCCTCAGAATCCATCTGGGGCTGGGGGAAGGGCCAGACGTGGGGCAGGGCTTGGGACTGAGACCTGTGAAATCCAGGGAAGGGTTTTTTCCCAGTGCACTTTGATCCAAGGGGAAATAACAGAGCCCTGCTGGCTCAGATCCCTGCTCTGGACACCCTGGGATGGCTCAGAGCCCCCCAAAAAACAGCAGCCAGCTGTGATCCCTCATATCCAAGGGCTCAGCAACCCCAGGGGCTGCCTGGAGTCAGGGATCCATGGGACTCCTCTCCTGTGCCCACCATGGGATTTATGCCCCAGGAAGCAGGGGTCTGGAATGTCCCTCTGGAATGTCCCTTGTGTCACTTCCCTGCCCCTGGAGGTCACGCTGGGCTTATCCCAGCAGGGGGATTTGGGATCAGGAATCTCCCAGCAAAGATCCAGCGTGAACTCCACCAGCAGCAGGATTAAAAATGTGGATTAAAGCACTGAGCTGGCCACTCTCCACTTCCAGGGACTCTCCTGCTTCGATTCTGCTCCAAAACCGAAGGGAAAAAACTCTCCTTGGCAGGGACAAACCCTCTGGGCTGTGCCAGGCCCTCCTGCTGGCATTTCAAAGCCCCCAGTGAGGAAATCTGCCTGCCACACACTGAAAGGCCAGGAGAGATCCTAAATCCACCCTGAATCCGTGTGGAAAAGACAAAAAAAAAAAAAAAAAAGAGACAAGAGAGAGGCAAGGAGACATTGCAAAGGGATGTTTACTGCCCCAGCAGACCCCTCCAGCCACAGCAGGGCCCCTGCCCCGGGCTCTGGGGGTTTCCTTCCCAGAGGAATTCCAGCGGCAATCACGGCCTGGGCTCCTCCTTGCCCGTGTGGTGCTCGGGGGGTGTGTACTTCCCCTGCTTGATCATCCTGTCCCGCTGCTCCAGGATGAGCCGGAGCCGCTGAGTCTGCCAGGGACACGGGGGGGGGTCTCAGGGGGTCCCCACGGCAGGTCCTGGCAGCCCCACAGATGTGGAACCCACACTAAGCCCCGCCCTGGGGATCCTCACTCGAGTTTGAGGCTCTTCTCAAAGACTTTGGGGCTTTCAGGGTGTTCTGTACTGAGGGGATTTGGGTTCCCAGCCCCGCGTTCTGAGCAGAATTTTATCCTGGATGTGGATGTTGCTGGGGGCAGGGAGAGAACTCTGCTCGGTGCCGCCCCAAAACCACGGAACGGTTTGGTTGGGAGGGAACTAACACCCCACCCAGTCCCACCCCGGTGGGCAGGGACACCTTCCACTAATCAGCTTGCTGCAAGCTGGCCTGGAACACCTCCAGGAACGGGGCAGCCGCAGCTTTATATTCCCCGAGCTCCCACAGTTTTATTTTCCCCGGGCTCCCGCAATTTATATTCTCTGGGCTCCCGCAATTTTATCTTCCCCGGGCTCCCGCAGTTTTATTTTCCCCGGGCTCCCACAGTTTTAAATTCCCCAGGCTCTCGCAGTTTTCCTTTCCCCGGCTCCCCAGTTTTATCTTCCCCGGGCTCCCGCAGTTTTATTTTCCCCGAGCTCCCACAGTTTTAAATTCCCCAGGCTCCCGCAGTTTTATTTTCCCGGGCTCCCGCAGTTTATATTCTCTGGGCTCCCGCAATTTATATTCTCTGGGCTCCCGCAATTTATATTCTCTGGGCTCCCGCAATTTTATCTCCCCCAGGCTCCCGCAGTTTTATTTTCCCCGAGCTCCCCAGTTTTATCTCCCCTGGGCTCCCCAGTTTTATTTTCCCTGGCTCCCCAGTTTTATTTTCCCCTGGGCTCCCGCAGTTTTATTTTCCCCGGCTCCCGCAGTTTTATTTTCCCCGAGCTCCCACAGTTTTATTTTCCCCGGGCTCCCGCAATTTATATTCTCTGGGCTCCCGCAATTTTATCTTCCCCGGGCTCCCCAGTTTTATTTTCCCCGGGCTCCCACAGTTTTAAATTCCCCAGGCTCCCGCAGTTTTCCTTTCCCCGGCTCCCCAGGTTTAATCTCCCCTGGACTCCCCAGTTTTATCTCCCCTGGGCTCCCCAGTTTTATCTCCCCTGGGCTCCCCAGTTTTATCTCCCCTGGGCTCCCCAGTTTTATCTCCCCTGGGCTCCCGCAGTTTTATTTTCCTCAGGTTCCCGCAGTTTATCCCCCCCGGGCTCCCACAGCCCCGGGGGCAGGGGCAGACCACCCCTCACACTGGGAAGGAGCAACAGCGCTCCCGCCCTGCGCTGCACCCCCAAACCTCCCCAGAGCGCGGCCAGGACCCTCCGCTCGCTGCCCGCAGCCCCTCGAGCCGTGTCCCCGCTCACCCACCAGCTTGGTGCGCTGCATGCACTCCATGAAATCCTCGTACTCCAGCTGGCACTCGCGCCGGGCGCGGGTCTGGCCCAGCCCGTGCCCGCACTCCACCCACTCGCGCTCGAAGGCGTGGCACACCGCGGCCAGCCCGTGCGGCTGCGGCATGCTCTGCCGCAGCAGGAAGCTGTCCACATCGATGCCCAGCTGCTTCTGCAGGCCCCAGAACGGCATGGCCGCGCTGCTGTCGCGACACGGCCGCTGTCGCGATCCGACACCGCCGCCCCTCACGGGCCCGTCCTTCACCGCCCTTTCGCGACGGCCCCGCCGGCAAGCGCGGCCGGCCTCGCGACACCGCGGCGCGCTCGACGGCTGGGCGGGGCCAGCGAGAGGAGCGCCCCCTGGCGGATTGGAGGACTCGCTGCACGCCCAGCGCCCCCTGGCGGCCACGGTGCTCAAGGGCTCCCAGTACTCCCAGTACTCCCAGTACTCCCAGTGTCCTCATCTCAGTGCTCCCAGTGCCTTCCCAGTGCTCCCAGTGCTCTCCCTCTGTCCTCATCTCAGTGCTCCCAGTGCTCCCAGTGCCTTCCCAGTGCTCCCAGTGCCTTCCCAGTGTCATCCCAGTGCTCCCAGTGTCATCCCAGTTTCCTCTCAGTATCCTCCCAGTGCCCTCCCAGTACTCCCAGTGCTCTCCCTCTGTCCTCATCTCAGTGCTCCCAGTGCCTCCCAGTGCCTTCCCAGTGCTCCCAGTGCCCTCCCAGTGCTCCCAGTACTCCCAGTGTCATCCCAGTTTCCTCTCAGTGTCCTCCCAGTGCCCCCCAAGTTCTCTCCCAGTGTCCTCTCAGTGTTCCCAGTGCCCTCCCAGTGCCCTCTCACTGCCCTCCCAGTGCCCCCCAGTTCTCCCAGTACCCCCCATCTCTCCCAGTACCCCCCCATGTCTCCCAGTGCCCCCCAGTTCTCCCAGTACCCCCCATCTCTCCCAGTACCCCCCATCTCTCCCAGTACCCCCCATCTCTCCCAGTACCCCCCCATGTCTCCCAGTACCCCCCATCTCTCCCAGCGCCCCCCAGCTCTCCCAGTACCCCCCATCTCTCCCAGTACCCCCCCATCTCTCCCAGTACCCCCATGTCTCCCAGTGCCCCCCATCTCTCCCAGCGCCCCCCAGCTCTCCCAGTGCCCCCCAGCTCTCCCAGTTCCTGGCCTCAGGGTCCCAGGGGGCTGTACCTAGGGCAGAGCCTTCGTGAACCCTGACGAGCCCCCAGGGAGATGCCACAAGGCCCAGGTCTTCCCCTCAGTGTCACCCACAAACCCTAAACCCACACCCTATTCCCAGAGCCCCCCAAAATCCCAGGGGTCCCTCCAGATCCCTGAACAGAGCCCCAGCCTTCCCTAACGAGCAAAGCCTCATTAAAGCTGATTACAGAGGGATTCTCCAGCACAGGGTGGGGAGGAAGAGCTGGGCCTTCCTCACCTGACCCCTCAAGCCACGCTGGGCTGCCAGTGCTCACCCCCACTCCTAAAATCAGAGCCCAGACCTGCCAAACCCCTCTGGGAGGCACGCACACCGCAGGAGCTGGAGGAGCAGGATTATGGACAGGATTTACTTCCAAATCCATGAGAGAAGAGCGGGGCAATGCCAGGGGCAGGATGGCATCTTCCCCCTCCCTGGCACTGCCACGCGATCCTTTCCCCCTCTGGGACCACCACAGGGCCTCTCCCTTCTGGTACTGCCATGGGATTTTTCCCACTGTGGATTTTTAGGCTGTAAAAATCCTGCTTTTCCCTCTGTAGGATTTTTATCCCTCCAGCACCACTGTGGGACCTTTTCCCCTGGTGCTCCCATGGGATTTTTCCCACCCTGATATCATTATGGGACATTTCCCCTGGTGCTCCCATGGGATTTTTCCCACCCCGATACCATTATGGGACATTTCCCCCGGTGCTCCCATGGGACTTTTCCCACCCTGATACCATTATGGGACATTTCCCCTGGTACTGCCATGGGATTTTTCCCACAGTGGATTTTTAGGCTGTAAAAATCCTGCTTTTCCCTCTGTAGGATTTTTATCCCTCCAGCACCACTGTGGGACCTTTTCCCCTGGTGCTCCCATGGGATTTTTCCCACCCCGATACCATTATAGGACATTTCCCCTGGTGCTCCCATGGGATTTTTCCCACCCTGATACCATTATGGGACATTTCCCCTGGTGCTCCCATGGGATTTTTCCCACCCTGATACCATTATGGGACATTTCCCCCGGTGCTCCCATGGGATTTTTCCCACCCCGATACCATTATGGGACATTTCCCCTGGTGCTCCCATGGGATTTTTCCCACCCCAATACCATTATGGGACATTTCCCCCGGTACTGCCATGGGATTTTTCCCACTGTGGATTTTTAGGCTGTAAAAATCCTGCTTTTCCCTCTGTAGGATTTTTATCCCCCCAGCACCACTGTGGGACCTTTTCCCCTGGTGCTCCCATGGGATTTTTCCCATCCCGATACCATTATGGGACATTTCCCCCGGTGCTCCCATGGGATTTTTCCCACCCCAATACCATTATGGGACATTTCCCCTGGTGCTCCCGTGGGATTTTTCCCACCCCGATACCATTATGGGACATTTTCCCTGGTGCTCCCGTGGGATTTTTCCCACCCTGATACCATTATGGGACATTTCCCCCGGTGCTGCCATGGGATTTTTCCCACAGTGGATTTTTAGGCTGTAAAAATCCTGCTTTTCCCTCTGTAGGATTTTTATCCCTCCAGCACCACTGTGGGACCTTTTCCCCTGGTGCTCCCATGGGATTTTTCCCACCCCAATCCCATTATGGGACGTTTCCCCTGGCAGTACCACCACAGGACCTTTCCCACCGTGGCTCCTTCCCCAGAGCTGCTCAGATGATGCCAGCTGGAGCGAAGACAGGGGTGACACAAAGTGTCTCTGCCATCTCCCAGCCACAGGACAGGGGCATGCAGAGGCTCTCACGGTCGTCTTCTGCCTGGGGTGGCTTTCCCTGGAAGAGCTGGACAGCTTTCCTGCAAGTGGAGAGCCAGGGGAAGGAGCAGCCCCTTGAGAATGGGATGGGGACACTTCAAGGCTCTCCTGTCCCCCACAACCACAGCCAGAGGTGAGCTGGCTCTCTTTTCTCCAGTGAAAAACTGCCTCAAATTTGACAATATTTTAAAAACCAGGATTTTTTCCTCTGGTGCCATGATTTCACCCTGAATTTCCAGGTGGAAGAGAAGCCAGAATCCCACACGGACCCAGCCCTGCCCTCCCTCCCTGCCCCGCTCTTACCAGGCCACGCGGGACATGGCGTAGGTGACCCGTGCCTGGGGACCTGCGGTGAGCAGGGATGAGCTCGGCATGCTGTAGGCTCCCATGTTCCCAAAAATCAGCCAGTCCCCCACGTGCAGCTGGGGCAGCTCCAGCCCCTCGGCGATGCGCTCCTCGCCGTGCCCCCGTGGGCCCCGCAGGCTGCTGCTGTGCCAGGGCTGCTCTGGGCACGGCCTCTGCGGGCAAAACGCGGCCTGAGGATGTGCCAGGGTCACACTGAGCCCCAAATTCAGCCCCACAGACCGGGTGCAGCTTCCCCTCTGTGGGGACCCGGTGTTGGGGACATCCCCAAGCCAGGGGAGCCCCTCACCTTGTGCAGCCGTGGCCGTGGGCAGGGGCTGTCGAACAGGAGGCAGCTGAAGGCACCGTAGATGCCATCACTGAGGTGATAGACCAGGCTCTTCTTGCTGCCACACTCTTCCTCTGGAAGGGAGGGGGGAGAGGGCTCAGGGACACAGGGAACACATGTGGAAACAGGGAGAGGGCTCAGGGACACAGGGAACACATCTGGGAACAGGGAGAGGGCTCAGGGACACAGAGGACACATTGAGGAGTGGGGAGAGGGCTCAGGGGGGTTTAGAGACACATCTGGGAGTGGGGACAGGGCTCAGAGGGGCTCAGGGACACATCTGGGAGTGGAGACAGGGCTCAGGGGGGCTCAGGGACACATCTGGGAGTGGGGACAGGGCTCGGGGGGGCTCAGGGACACAGGGGACACGTCCTGCTGTCACACCTACCGTCAGAGCCAGGCTGCTCCATGGGGGTCTCCTCCAAGGCAGTGATGCTGACAGCCAAGGTGAAGGCAGAGGTGACATAGTAACGCCCAGGCCTGGCTACAATGTCCACCCCGCTGCCCTCGGGGAAGTACAAATCCAAGGCAGAGTTTATCCCGGCAGCCATCTGTGAGGGAAGAAAAAAGAACCTTCCTCTTGGTTAGCTGGGAATTCTGCAGGCAGCCAGGCCCGGGGAGAGCTCCCAAGCCCATTCTCTGCCTGCTGAGGGCAGGTGGTGGTTTGTACCTCTTCCAGCAGGGCTCTGGTGTCCTCGGTGCCGGGGAAGCCCCCGCCGATGTCCAGGAGGTGCATGTGGTGTCCCAGCTCCGTGCCCATGTCAAACACCAGCTGTGCTGTGGCCACAGCCTGGGCCCAGGCCTGGGGCTCCAGCCCACGGCTCCCGAGGTGGAAGCTGAGGGCACAGACACATCTCAGCAGGGTTTGATCATCCCCAGAGCAGAGGGGACACGGCACTGGGATTGTCACTCACACAGCTTCCCACACACCACCCCAAACCAGACCTGCAGAGCCCCACGGAGCCTTTCCTAGGGTCCAACCTGCCCCAAATTGGCCCCAGCGAGGTCAAATCCCCGCCTTCACCTCACTCCCAAGCAGAGCAGCTGGATCACTGCATGGTTCCAGCAGGGCAGAGCTCCCCAGATCCCGATCCAGAGGGGCTGAGCACCCCTAGGGAGGAAGGCCCAGGGCTGTACCTGATGCCAACAACCTCCACAGCCTGTTCCTTCGCTGTCTCCAGCAGGTGCCGGCAGGATTTCAGCGTGGTCCCGAAGGTCATGCTCGGGTGGGCAGGAGGGGTGGAGTCAGCAGTGATCCCCAACAACATCCTGCACAGCAAAGCCACGCTGTGTTGAGGGCCCTCAGAAAACAGGACCATGAAAGGAAAAGCCTTTGAGGACTGGAAAAGCCCTCAAAGATCACTGAGTCCAAATATTAACCCCAGCTGTTAAGTCCAGCACTAAACCACGTTCCTGAGCACCACATCTACAAGTTTTTTAGCGTTTCCAGAGATGGTGAATCCACCCCTTCCCTGGGCAGCCTGTTCCAGTGCCCAATCACCCCTTCAGTGATCAAATTTTTCCCATATCCAATCTAAACTTCCCCTGGCACAGCTTGAGGCCGTTCCTCTTGTCGTATCTCTTGGGGGAAGAGACTGGAACCCACCTTGTACAACCTCCCACAGCCCATCCCCTCCTCCAGGACCCACTCCTGGAACTGGACAGAGACACCCACCTGGCACGGGGGTGGCTCCTGGCCACCTTGCTCAGCTCCACCTCGTTGTCGAAGGCCATCAGCCTGACCCCGTGGGCTGCAGCGTACCTGATGTGGGCGACCTGCTTGCAGGGGCTGCTGTAGAAGATCCTGTCAGCTGGGACCCCAATGCCTTGAACCCGGGTGATCTCTGCCTGCAGGGAGAAGGGGACACGTGCAGCAGGTCCCCAGGAGCTGGGTGGGGACCAGCCACCAGCTCTGGGTCTTGGCCAGCTTGCAGTGCTGAGGAGGGCGAAGCGCCAGCGTTGCAGCCTGGGTTTTTCCAGGGAAAAGCTACCAGAGCTCAAAGGGATCACAGTGGACTTTGTCCTGGCATGGACAGGTTTAAAAACACCATGAGAATGGGAGAGGAAACAAGTGGGGTTAGCAGGCCTGGGACTGAGCCCTGGTTTGAGCTGTGACAACTCTTGCCCTTTCTTCCCTTGCCCTTTCTCATCCTATTTAATTATATTAAAGTGATTTAATTCTGCCTCCTCCCTGGAAGTCTGGCTGTTGCAAATGACAAGTGGGAGGAAGCAAAAAGCTTTAGGTTCAGCCCTAAGGACACCAAGAGTTGGACAGCTGTGGCAGTGACACCCCAGGGATGTGCTGTGCCACCAGGCAGGACAGCAGCTCCAGAGACAGGGATGTCAGCCAAAGGGACAAGGAATTCTGGGCTGTGACAGCAGAGGGAGACTCCTGCCCCTGTAAATGTCACCTAGAGCAGAGATTTAGGAAAAAAACAAACATTTCCCCTGGAGCTGTCCTCCCACAGCCCTACCTTGTTGGCACAGGCAAATCCTGCCCCCAGCTCTGCCAGCAGCCGAATCACCCCTTCGCTGCCGTTGCATTTAACTGGGAAATAGGGTTTCACTCGGGGTAAAGCCTTCAGGAAACGCAGGTGCTTCTTCACGATGTCCCCAAGGTCTGCCACGAAGAAGGCCTGCTGGTCGCTCTAGGGGACAGCTGGAGTGAGCAGCAGCTCCAGGAGTGCCTTTTCCAAAGGCAGCAGCAGAGCATCAGCCCCCACCTCTTGGCATGGCTCCCCCAGCAAGTTCTCCAGGAGGTCTCTGGTGGTGAAGCCCTCCTCCACCATCAGGAAATTGGATTCGTTCAAGTACCCGTTCATGGTGTGACGCTCTGGGTGTGGTGATGCTCCTTGAAAACCTCCTGGAGTAGGGGATGGATTCTAAGGATGAGGCACAGTGTAAAAATGAAAGGAATGTTTAGGGAAAGGGTCCAGAAGCTCCATCAGCATGGACCGCCCAAGCCCATAGCCCGGGGTGCCCCTGGGTAGAGCTTTGTGCTGCTCTGCTCCAAACCAGCAGCTCAGCAGAGCCCTGCTGTGGGTTACAGCATCTTCCCTGGGGGAGGAGACACATTTCTCTGCAGTTCAGAGCTCTGTTTGGGCACACAGCAGCCTTGTGTCCACCAGCAGGCACCAGCACAGTCAACAACAATGCCAACTGCACCACAAAGAGCAGAGATGCTTTTCTAGGCCAGGACAGGCCCCTTCACGCTCTGGAATGCAGCTGGATCTGCTGAGTGCTCAGTGGGGTGAGCATCCTGGACGGATCCCAAATAGCTGAAGGCTCCTGGACCCACCTTCCCAGTGGAAAGCCCCAGGACAAGGCAGACACAGCACGGGCCCCTCGCTGACACCATCCAACCTCAGGACAGCCTGGATCCCTGCTGTGGATGCAGTTCCACAGCTCTCCCGTGACACAGGGTGTGGGACAAGGGGACAATTAAGCAGCACAGAGTTTTTGGGCTCATCCTAGCAGAGCTTTAGCTTTGAGCTTGCACCCTGAGCTTTAACAATCTCCTGCCCTGGATCCAGCCTGGCCCAGAACTCAGGGAGTTGATGAGCTAGCAGGGAACATTTCCACTCCAGTAATCCAGGTCTAGCTCCAGGGTTCTTCCAGGAGCGTGGTCTCTCTGATTTGAAGTGCAGGAGGCAGAGGTTTCATTTCTCAGAGCTGCACAGAGACCTCCTGACAGCATTCCAGGGGCACTGGGAGAAAGACCACGCTGACCCCGGAGCAGCAGGATGTTGTAATGCATTGAGCAAGCACCACCAGCCAATTCCAGAGATGGAGAATGGGATGAAAAAAAGATGTTTTGAAGCTCTTAAGCAACTCCTCCAGCTTTACCCTTCACTCCCCATCACCAAACAGCACCCAACCCACCCTGGTGGGGCACAGAAGGGATGAAATGGATCATTCCTGTCAGAACTCGTGCCCCAGCCTCGACATCCCCTCCTTACCACGGTCCAGTTGTCCCTCCCAGGTGCCCTGGTGTGCTGTCAGGGGGGCTCCCCGAGGAACACTGAGCTCCCGCAGCAGCCCAAGGTGTAGCTGTGCCTGGGGGTCCGGGGTCTCTGAGGAGAAGCAGTGCAGGGGCTTAGAGAGGGAGAGGGGCACTGACAGCACGATGCCCTTCACCCCCATCCCTAAATTAGCAACCACAGGCACTCTGCAGCTCCCTCCTCACTGTGCCAGGCAAAGCAGCTCCCCCACACCCCCCCCAAAAAGCCCCCTTACCTCAGGAAGCATTTAAACAGATTCTGCCATGGGTATCCCGAGAACGAACCGGCCCCAGGGCTGGATGTTTGTCCTGCCCAGAGCCCTGCAGAGGATGGGGGGGCTCTGCACCCCTTCTCTCCCAGCACTGCCTCCCAACCGTAGCCGTGACAACCAAATCCAGCCACCCCATTGGCCGAGCCGCCTCCGAGCATCCTTCATCCCTTTTGGAGAAGGCTCCCAATCCTCGCCCACCCTCTCCCAAGGCTGGGGCTGCCCCTGCAGTCACGCTGGGCTCTCACCGGGTCCCCGCAGCTCATCCCCAGCCTGGCAGCCCGGCCCTGCTTCCCGCGGCTGCGCGTCCTGAGCACCCGAAATACCTCGGAAATGCTGCTGCCAGGGAAACCAGGCTGCTGCAGATTAAAGGCTGTTTGCCTGGGACTCCGGAGAGAGGGAGGGAGTTGGGAAGGTGTCAGGGACTGATCCTGCCCTTGCTGAGCTGCTGCTGGTTTTGGTGGCTGCCACAGTGGCAAATCCAGCTCTGCCATCAGTGCAGATGCTCTGTGTGATCCATGAGACCTGGATCTTGGACACTGCTCCATCCCACACACAGGATGGGCTCGGCAGGGATTTCTTAACTCTTCTTGTTAAATGTGCAGTTCCCTCTCTGGTGCTGCTGAGGAGCCACTGTTCTGTCTGTGGAGGGATGGCTGTCCCCACTGAGGGGGGTGTGAGAAGGATCAGCTTATCCTGGGTTTGTGTTCAACACTGTAGTCTTGACTTTGCCACAGTTTCTCCTGGCAGCCAGGGCCAAGGAAGCTCTTGTCTGCTGTGAGATCCTGGCTGGTTATGCCTGTGCTCTGGCCCCTCACCAGCGCTGGACTGTGCTCTGTGGGATGTGGGGACCATGCAGAGAGGCTGGGAGAACAGAGAGATGCAGAGCCCTGCAGTGCCAGCCCCTCCTGGATGTCCTGGGCAGTGTTGTGATGTGCAGCCCATGCAGAGCAGGGCACTGAGCCCATCCCACGCAACACCAGGGCAAGCACAGCTTGGAATCACTGAGTCAGTGTCCTTCTTGAAGAGAGTGACCCAAAACTGGACGCAGAACTCACAGCGCTGGGTGCTGGACATATTGCATCAGCACAATGTCCTCCTTGAACCGAGTGACCCAAAACTGGCCACAGCACTCGCAGTGCTGGACATATTGCAGCAGCACAATGTCCTCCTTGAACCGAGTGACCCAAAACTGGTTGCAGCACTCACAGTGCTGGGTGCTGGACATATTGCAGCAGCCCAACGTCCTTCTTGAACCGAGTGACCCAAAACTGGCCACAGCACTCACAGTGCTGGACATATTGCAGCAGCCCAATGTCGTTCTTGAACAGAGTAACCGAGAACTGGATGCAGAACTCGCAGTGCTGGGTGCTGGACATATTGCAGCAGCACAATGTCCTCCTTTAACCAAGTGACCCAAAACCGGTTGCAGCACTCACAGTGCTGGACATATTGCAGCAGCCCAATGTCGTTCTTGAACAGAGTGACCCAAAACTGGACGCAGAACACACAGTGCTGGGTGCTGGACACATTGCAGCAGCCCAATGTCCTCCTTGAACAGAGTAACCCAAAACTGGTTGCAGCACTCACAGTGCTGGGTGCTGGACATATTGCAGCAGCAAAATGTCCTCCTTGAACCGAGTGACCCAAAACTGGACGCAGAACTCACAGTGCTGGACATGTTCCAGCAGCCCAATGTCGTTCTTGAACTGAGTGACCCAGAACCGGACGCGGCCCTCGCGGTGCGACCTCAGCAGCGCCCAGAACTTGGGGACAGCTCGGAGCGACCCCGAGCGACCCCCGCCCACCTCGGGATAACCACGCCCATCATGCATAACCACGCCCATTCGCTGTGATTTGCATGTCCCCGCCCCTCGCTTTGCATGTCCCCGCCCACGCGGCGCGGCGCGGGCGCGCAGTCGGCGGCGGCCATGGCTCCGAGCGCGCAGGCGGGGGCCGGCCGCGGGCAGGGCCCGGCCGCGGGGATCCGCCACGGCATCCGCGCCGTGCTGCTGGGCCCGCCCGGAGCCGGCAAGGGCACGCAGGTGAGGGCGATGCGGGCGGGACCGACCGGCGGGACCGGCCCGCCCGGCCTTCCCCACTGCCGGCACTCAGCGTGTGACCCCCGCGTGGAGGGACGCGGGTGTCCGGCCGTGGGTTGCCCGCCCAGGGATGGGGGTGTGCGGTGTGTTCGTGTGGCCCCGGGTGTCCCGCCTCCAGGGGCTCGCTCGCCGGGGCTCTTTGTCCCGGATCCCTTTGTCCCGGGCCGGACGCGGTGTCCCTGAGCTCCGGGGCTCCGTGCCGGGCCTTGCCACGTGCTGACCGGTCAACGACTGTCCCGCTGTCGCGACAGGGGGACAAAGCCCCGCCGGGGTGGGGATCCTCAGCCTCCGAGGTCCGGTCTCACCTCTGTCCTCTTCCGCAGGCCCCGAAGCTGGCCGAGACCTACTGCGTGTGCCACCTGGCTACCGGCGACATGCTGCGGGCCATGGTGGCCTCGGGCTCCGAGCTGGGCAAGCGGCTCAAGGAGACGATGGATTCGGGGAAGCTGGTGGGTCGCGGGGAATGTGCTGGGAGGGGACACGGGCTGGCAGCATCCGGAATGAGAGCAGACCAAATCCACCTCCTAATTAGGATTCTCTAATTAGTGTAGGAATGTAGATTGCAGGGTTAAGGTAGGGATGGAGTGGGGGCTTTCCTTCTATCACCCTGCAGGAGAAGCATCCTGTACAAACATCCTTCCTCTTCAAAATTACTATTTGCTTACCAGCAGCCTGTGGCCCTGGGTTGTTTTTTATCTTTTGGTGTGTGCAGAATGGCTGGCAATTTTCTGGCTCCTGAACACTGAGGTGACAGTGTATCCTTGGAGCTGCAGGATCTTACAGCCGTGCTTTGTAGCTCCTGTGTCTCTTCATTTGATACCTGAGCTCCAGGTATCACTTCAGTGGGTTCATCTGCATCCTAGCTCTTGCATAAGCTCGATTCACCTGTAACTCTAGGATGAATATAGACCTAAAGGTGTTGGTGTGGTAGTTACAGCAGCTGCTGTGTGAGAGACACTTTGGATCACCAAAAGACATGAGTTAGAATCTCTGACGTTCATTTTCTGAGGGTCTCATTATCTCATCCTAACAACTGAAATATCTCAGGGAAACTCGAGGGACCACAAATTGCAGTGACTTGCCCCAGTATGGGACAGATCTTAAGCGTGGCTGTGGCTGCCACAGGGTCATAACACCCTGGGGAGGATCTGCAGGCCCCACAAGGGGAGAGCAGCCTTTATCTCACTTCTGCTCAGAGCTCATTGCAACACCCAGCCTGCAATACCCAGCTGGTTATGAAAGATAGGGACGTTATCTGGGCAGGCTGGTGGTATCTGCCACGTGTGTTTGTGTGTGGCAGGCAGCTCCAGGCTGCTCCACGGGCACATCCCGCAGCTCTGTGATAACTCAGCTGGGAGCAGCCCAGCATTTCAGCATGGGGTTTATGCTCAGGATCGTTTTTTCTCCAAAGGGTGTAATCAGGAAGGCACAGAAGCAACTTGTTGCTTACTTCCCCTGCCTGCAGGGCTGTTTGTGTGTTGTGACAGCCTGGTCCCCAATCCTGCTGGGTCCCAGCTGTGTGTGCTGGAGAGAACAGCGCTGCTCCCAAATAAACAGCTATTGTTGGGGCTGCAGCATCTGTGAGTGCTGCAGTGTGGAAAAGGCACTAATCCCAGTGGTATGCTGAGATTGTTAGATGGGGAAAAAACTAGCCAGTGAAGCCAGAGCTTGTCAGCAACTCTTGGGCTTTTACCTTTGTATGAAGTTTATGGGAGTCAATGAGCAACTCGCCTGCTCTGCCCTTCCTGCCCAGGCCTGCCTCCCGAGGTGCATGTGTAGGTGAAAGTACAAAGTAACAGGAAATCAACGTTCTGTTGATACTTTGTATTGTGAATTGGTTTAAAAAATAATAATCTAAGGAGTTTGAGCTGACCTTGTTCCTTACAAAGCGGCCTTTGTAACAGTGAGGTTACAGGGCTGGTCCAAGTCCCTGCGCAGGCTGGAGTGTCCCTGGAGTGAAATGTGGCATTGCCTCTGTCCTAGTGTTGCAGGGAGTGCTGCCCTGATGTGGGCAGGTCTGAACAGGCAGCCTGGGCATTGACATGAGCCACGGAATCACAGAATATCCTGACACACAAGAATTGGAAGGGACACACAAGAATTATTGAGTCCAACCCTTGGCCCTGCACAGGACAACTCCAAAAATCCCACCCTGTCCACACGGGCAGCAGCTGTGTGTAAATTCAGGGTGTCCTTCCTGATAACATACTTGTCTGATCTCTGCAGGTGAGTGATGAGATGGTGGTGGAGCTGATTGAGAACAACCTGGACTCGCCTCCCTGCAAGAATGGGTTCCTCCTGGACGGCTTCCCACGCACAGTGAAACAGGCAGAGATGGTATGGGATCCCCTGCTCGGGTCTGTTCCAGCACCTCCTTCCCTCAAACCCAGGGGTCTCTGCTCCCTCAGCCCCTCTGAGGTGGGTGTTTGCTCTTGCAGCTGGATGAGCTCCTGGAGAAGAGGAGAGAGAAGCTCGACTCCGTCATTGAGTTCAGCATCCCCGACTCCTTGCTGATCCGGAGGATCACGGGCCGGTAATCCTCCTCTCCCAGCGCTCAGTGCACGGGTTGGGATTTCCTAGTCTATGGAAGAGCATCCTAATTTCAGATCCCAGGTTGTCCTCATGGTGCTTAAGGCTGGCTGTGGTGCTGGTCTCTATTTCTGCCCTGATCCTTTGCTTGTTCTCCTATGCCTGGGCCAGTGTTGAGCAGAGCACCTTCCTTGCCCTATAACTCAGAGATTTCTATAGGAAATCTCAGCTCACTCTGTAAGTTCCTCCTTCTCCAAAGCTATTGTTTCTCCCTTACACAGGACACTGAATACATTTGGGCACTAGTAACCTTCCTCCAGGGTCAGGAGTGTGTTCTCTTGCACTGTTTTCCAGACCCCATTCCCAGCCGAGCAGGATGTAAAACCCCTTCTCCATCTCCCAATGCAGCTGCTTTTCCAAACTGAAGAGGCCCTTGGTACAGAAATAACTGTAGAGAATTTTCTTACAAGTGAAAGGCTAATGGTGTTGATGTGGCAGATGTTTCTGTGCTGATGAGTGGCAGGTTCAGGAGATCTTGTCCTGACCAGCTGCTTTGCTGACACTTCTTTTCTGTCTCAGGCTGATTCACCCAGCGAGTGGCCGCTCGTATCACGAGGAGTTCAGACCCCCGAAAGAGCACATGAAGGACGATGTATGTGAGCTCCCGAGGCCACAGCTTACCTTGCTTTGGGTTTAGCTGATGCTTTGCAGTCTCTCCCTGGAAAAACTCATTTCTTTCCTTCTCTTGTACCTTCTTGTCCTGGCTTTCTGGGGAGCGTGGGGAGCTGCTTGGGCAGCCTGAGCCGACGGCACGGCGGGGAGCGAGGCCTGGAGGGATGGATGGATTTGGATGAAGGGCATGGCCAGTCTGCAGAGCTGGCCCAGGCTCTGCCAGCCTCAGAACTTGTTGGACTCTGTCCACAGCTCAAGTTGTGGTGGGTTGTGACTGGTTTCCATCCTGGGGAGCAGCTGTAGCTGCTGCCTGGTCTTGAGGCTCCTTTTAGCAAGCAGAGTGGTGTGTGAGGGAAAAAGACCACGGTGCTGAGCCCTCCTCTCTCTCTTCAGTGACTTGTTCTGGCTCCCCTGCACACCTGGGGTCTCCTCTGCAGCACCGCCTTGGAGGAGGGGAGCAGGGAGAGAAGGGGGGAGCATCCCAGGCTGCAGCTCGCTGGAGACTGTCCCCTTGCTTCTCCCAGGTCACTGGAGAGCCCCTGATCCGCCGCTCGGACGATAACGAAACGGCCCTGAAAACCCGCCTGAAGGCCTATCACACCCAGACCTCCCCCCTGGTGTCCTACTACAGCAAGAGAGGGATCCATACGGCCGTGGATGCCTCCCAGTCTCCCGACGTGGTGTTTGCCAGCATCCTGGCAGCCTTCACGAAAGCAACATGTAAAGACCTGGTTATGTTCATTTAAGGCTCCGTCCCAGGATGGGGTTCTCCTTTTTTACGTTTTCCTGTCTCTTTCTCTTTCTCTGTCTCTCTGGGGCCAAGGAGGGTGAAGAGCTGAGCAGAGTAGAAGGGGAAAGGATGAGGTGATGCAGCCCAAGGCAGGGCTGTGCTAGTTCTCCAGTTTAATTAAACGAGCTGTTAACGGTATCGATGGTATCGATGTGGCTATACGTGAAGTCGGTCTGCGTGTAGATGTTGGGATCTTGGCCTCTAGAGGCCGCAGCGAGCCCAGGCTCCACTTGCCGAAATGGGCTCTGCACTCCTTTGGGTCAAAAAGCCTTTGTTTCGTCCTAGGAATGCACCTCCCTGGAAGGAGCTGTACTTCCAGCTCCTCCCAGCTACCCCACAGGGGCCTTGGAGAAGGTTGGGGATGTGGGGGAAGGATTTCCCAGGAGATGTGAAGCTGCAGGATTGAAACCTGGGGTTGCTCTGGGTGTGTTGCTGTGGGAGCAGCCTGAGGGACAGCCTGGCTGCTGCTCGGGGCTGGGTGATGATGTGTTCTCCTTGTACGTGTTTTATTCCCTGTGGGGTACCAGGTTCCTGTTCTGATGGCACCTGGGGGGGCAGAAAGAGGGTGGGGGGTTTCAACCATTATTTATTTGTGGGATTTATAGCAAATTAGTGAGATGCTTCTTGCTCTTTTTAATGTGAAATCTGTGGTCAGAGTCTGACAGTTACTGTGTGGCAGGTTGGGATGTCCTGAGGATAAGAAAAGGACTTGGGTTTGAACTCTTCACTTTTGCCTTGGTTTTGACCAAGGAGAGGAAGATGCGCTGAGCTTCTCCTGATCCCAAAGTCTAAATATAATAAAGCCTTATTGCAAAACAAATGATTTCTCAAGGCTCGAGAGACAGCATTATTAACCACTGGCTCCATGTGCCCTTGAGCTAACGACCTTCGTTTTGAGCTCATGGAAATGTTCCTGTTTCTTGAGCAAATCCAGCAGCTCTGTCAGGCTGTGTTTGAGGACACTGTTTGTGCTCAGTGCCTCAGCCTTTCCAGGGCATTGTGCTGCTCTGTGGTGACACTGCAGGGCTGGCACTGACCTTTGGCCATGAGGGATTCCAGCCCTTCCTGGAGGACCCTGCTGTAAATATGGATTGGCTCAGATGAAACTTTGTCCTTTGGCATTCCATGTGTGTTTACTGATTGTTACTGAGTATCCTCCTGTCTCGGGATGGCCCATTCCATCCTGTGCACTGAGCTGCTGTGAGCTCTGTGGCCAGAGCAGATGTTTAATCCTCAGGAATCCCTTGCTCTTTTCCTTGATTATTTCTCTTTTGCCTGACAGTCCCCTCTCTCTCCTCATGCATCCTTTCCAGGGACAGAACCTCTTCCCTTCCAGCAAACTGGGAACCAAAAGCAGTGGACTTGTTGCTCTAGAAACCACGTCACTGAGGAGAAAGGCTCTGACAGTAAACTGGGGCTGGTTTTGCCAGCAGCCTGTTGTGCCCTGGGATTCCTAGACAGCCCTTGCTCTGTCTCTGGATTTCCTGTGGAAGGATAACCTGGAGTTGGTGTGCTGGGAGGTTGGGATAGCATTTAGGAAAAGACTGGTGTGCCCCAGGGAGTGGGAAAGTGTGTGGATTACAGCTGCCCTGGCATCTTGGTGATTAAAGAAATTGTGTGGAAGCAGCTTTTATTTTGAGAGCCAAAGGGAGAGCTGCAGCCCCCTACACTCTGGGAAGGGTTTCCAGCCAGTTGGCATTCCTGGATTTGGTCAAGTTTTTACTCTACAGCAAGAGCAAGATGTTCTCCTACTCTTCATTCCTTTCCTCCTTTGTGCTCTCTTCACATCCAGCTCATCAGCCTTTTTCTTTTTTTTTACCATAAACCATGCTTAATTTTGTTTGTTTGTTTTTCCCTAAATATTTTTTTTCTCTCTGTTCCCATTTATTCCAGCTGAGTGACTCCATCAAGCAGATGAGACACCACCAAACGCTGCACACTGCTACATCACCCATTACAGCCCTTCCCTGGGTGCAGGGAGGGCAGCTGGGAGGGGGGTATGATTGATGGTGGGGGGGAAGGAGGTGGCAAACAAGGGGTTGGGGGGCTGATTTGATTGGGTTTTGGTTGGATTTTTATTTGGCAGAATTATTGTGTAGAAGAAGCAGCCTTCTCCTTAGGAATCATGTTTGTGGAGGCAAAACAATTGTGGAGAGGGAAACATCTCTCAGTGATCAGCTGCAGGTCCTTGACCTGTTGGAGGGCAGGGCTAGATGTTACTCCAGGTTTCTCCAGGACTTTCAGGGCTTGTCTCATGGGCTCTTGGTACTCTGAGGCCACTGAAAGGTTTGCTGTGATTTTTTCCTAAAGTTGCTTCCTATCATCGAGGACCAAAAGGAACAAATGATTCATCATGTCTGAAATGGAAAGGAAAAAGATGCTTTGGTCTTTTCCTGGAAGTTTTGTTTTTCTTGTTCTGCTGCATTCCTGAACCCTGGCATAAAGACTTCTCAAGGATTCTCTGCTGCTGAACAGAGGGGCTGTGGCTCTAGTCCAAACCTGCCTTACTTGGGAATGGGGTGGCTTTTCTGTGATCGTGACCAAGCTGGAATTCACACAATGCTGAAGAAATGCAAAAGAGACTTTTCTTAATTGCCTGCAAAAATAACACTCAATTGGGGAGGTTGTTTTGCATTTCTTTTTTAGATCAAATGGTGCCTTGTCTAACCTCTGAATCAATAATAAAATAACCCCTTTACATTTGTATCTGGTGCCATGTCCTCTTTGACCTGCAGACTGTGGAGGATGAGGAGGCAGATGACAGCATTAACTAACAATTGAGCTGGGTGGATCCTGGGGCCTGATCCTATCTCAAGGATGTTCTGTGCAGCTGGAAATGTGGCTTGTAATTTCTTTTATCTCTTCTCCTTGCTGAGTGTGTCCAATGCTTTAGATCACCATAGCAATGGTGTTTTTTTGCTGGTTCTCTCTCCTGTTTCTTCCTGTGTGAGGCTGAAAGCACTGAGCCCCTCTGTATCCTCTCTGTCCAGAGCTCCTTGCAGCATTTTAACTGATGTAATCCCTTTTTTCCCTCCTCCCTTTGAATCTCCAGTGTGTGGAGGAGCTGATGTTATTTCCTTCTTTCCTGCAGCAACTGGAAGCCACATTATTGTCTTCTGTTTCTGCCTTTCATACTTTGCTGCCTCCCTCCCTCTCTCTAAATTCACAGGGAAAAATCTCTCCTAATGCAGGGAATGAGAGCATTTCCTGGCCTCCCTCTCTCCTGCCTCCACAGGGACTCTGACCCTCTGTGGTATCCCAGAGGAGGCTGTTCCTGATGGATTGATGGAGCTTTGTTGTTTATCCATGGTTCTTGCAGCCCTGCATGTGTTCAGGCACCAGAAAGGGCTGGGCTGAATGTACCCATTTCCTGCAGAAATTATTGGTTTTTCAGCATAATTGGGCTCTCCTGCTCCTCCGCCATTCTGTCTCTGTGCTCAGGTGTTTTCATTACCTCTCTGAACCTCTCATTACCAACCTTGTGCCTCTCTGGCCTTTGTGTTGTTCTTCCCTTGTTCCTTTTGATGGTGGATGTTAAACTGTGCTCTTCCTCCTTGTCTGGGATTGTGTCCTCTGCTCCTTGCCTGCTGTTGTTTTAAAAACCTGTTCTGCCTGCTCCTCCTGGCTTTCTGGTCTGTGGGATGGAGGAGCCTTGGCTCCTTCTGAGCTGGGCTGCCTCTGATCCTTACCTGAGCGTGGAGCATGAAATGGATTGCTGGGGAGCTGTGGGGAGGCTGCAGTGGGGAGCCTGTGAGCTCAAGCCTGGATCCTCTGGAGCTGGATCTGTGCTGTGACCTGTCTCTCTCAAGCTGACCTTGAATGTTTTCCACAGCACACGATGCTCTGCAGGTGCTGTAAATTCCTTCTGCTCAACCATTTCGTTCCAGCAAGCTGCTTATCAGGCACTCTTTTGAAAACTGTGTTCATATTTCATACACACAATTATTCAGCAACTATAAAAGGGAAAAAATTCCTATTTATAGCACAAGGACCAGCATCAAATAGGACACTGAATTCTCACTGATAGAGGAAGTGACCTGTTCTCTAATGCAGCAATATTTCTGCTGAAAAGAAACAGCATCTTGAATGGGGGGAGGGATGAAAACCCTGGGCCATCTCTTTCCATTAAAAATGTGCTGCAGTCCTAAAAATGCATCTGCCCTTCTCCCTTCCCAGTGAAACCGCTGGCAACAGGGACTGCAGGAAAACCTTTCACTGTGGATTTGTGGTTAGAGGTAATGAGCCCACCGACTCCTGATGGTCTGGTTTGGAGCTGAGCTTAAGTTTCTGATCAATAACCTGATCTCTGACCTTGATGTGGGGGCGAGGAGAAGCCGCTGCAGAGATGTCTGTGGGGACTTTGTGCCATCACGGTGCTCATGTGCACAGCCCCGAAGGAACAAAGAACTGCCTGGCAGCGAGCAATGGAGGGAGTGGGAAGGTGGGAAGGGCTCAGGGGACACGGGTGGAACTGCTGCGGGTGAGGTGAGAGCCTGTTTGCTCCGAGCCCGCTTCCCCTGGCTCCCTCTGCTCTCCCTTCTATTCCGAGTATGTTGAGCCACAAGGCCATCACTGGCCGCTCCCTGCTGCTGTCGCCGACTGTCGCCCTGTCCTTCCCGCGGTCTCTTTGGGAAGAGCTGCAGTGGGTGATACCAAGCGAGGCCCTGGGAGGTGGAGGAGCAGAGGATGGGATTCCCCTGCTGTCGCTGTGGCAACGCTGCGCAGGGAAGCAGCAGCAGCAGCAGCAGCAGCGGGATGCGATGGGCGGCTGCGTGGCGTGGAGGGTGCGCTGGGGAGGCTGCGGGGGCCGGGCTGCGCTGACATCACGCGGGGAGTGGCGCAGAGGGAAGGGGAGTGGGAAAGGAGCGCGGGGAGACTGCGGAGGGGAGAGCGCGGCACCGGCACCGGGCTCCGGGGACAGGTAAGGGATGCCCGGGGCCAGCGGGGGAAGGGGGAGCTCCGCCAGCTGCTGTGGGATCAGCGCCTGCCTCGGCATCTCTCGGGGTGATGTGGTGCTGGGGGCCGGCTCCTGGGCAGTGGGAATATTAATATACAATGCCTGAACAGCCTGGCACAGCAGGGCTTGGCGGTGGGACACTGAGAGCAGGTCAGAGCCCAGCTGGCTGGTGCAGAAACTGGTGCAGATGCTTCCCCCCCAGGACAGCAGCGTGTGCGTGTCACTGGTGCTGTACTGGGTTCCAGAACAGGATAAAGGGACTGGAGAACAGCCCTGGTCCCTGCCTGGAGAAGAGTTCTCCCTAGGGATTACAGCACGGATCATTGATGCAATTAATCAGAAGTTTGAGACTCCATCCTCTGAGCTGCATCTATCTTAGAGGAGGCTGTGAGCAGAGCTGGTGCACTGGGACCAAGCCCAGCAGCGCGTTTGTGGTGGGAATCCTAAACTGCACATCCCCAGCAGCCTCAGCACTTCCCCTGCCTGTGCAATAGTTCTGGGGAAGGCAGCCAGGTGCACGGGTACTGCCAGGAGCTCTCTGGATGTGCATCCTGGGGATTGCAGACCTGGAAGCAAAACAACAAAGTCCTTGAAGCCTCTCTGGGTGTCGTGTTGCCTTTTAGCACAAGGGTTGCATAACGGGATCTGTTTTGTTAGCAGAGGGAGCAAGGGTGACAGTCACCTCTGCCCTGCAGTATCTGTGTGCTGTGCTGGTCCGTGGTCCTGGGGGGAATTTCATCTTTTCCTTAATCCAAGAGCTGGGCTGGCTCCGTGCTCCTTCCCACCTCCAATCCCACAGCAGCGGGGTGTAGGGTCTCCACACCTACACTCAGGCTACACAGCCTTAGCAAACTAGAAAATGAGTTTGTGAGCACCCTACTCACCTGTGCTGACCTGATTCTGGCCTGTCAGGATTCTCAGTGTGTTTCCTCTTCCCTGACTGAGGAAAACACATTTGGGGTCAAAAGCTCAGTGTTGGGGACCCCTGTGCATGTCAGAAATCAGAACAGAGTAGAGATTGGAGAGGCACAAAGTAGAAATCTTGCTTGAAATCTGAGAACAGGAGAGGCCAATGCTCCTGTCACAACCATTTTGTTGAACCAACACATTTCCCAAGGCATTAAAAGGGCTGGGGGCTGTGACCCAGTGGGGCCACAGAGAAATGCAGCCAGGAGTGCTTGAGAGTGTAATTGCAACAAGAAGCATAAATATGCTTTAATTAGGGAAGCACTTGCTGTGTGATGCACAATCCCTCCCCACCAAGGCACACGTGCTGGGTCTACTGGGACCACTTGGGAGTGGCCCAGGTGGCCATTCTCCTGTTTATGGGATGGAAAGTGCTAACAGCAACAGCTTGTGCTGCTCTGTGGGGCTTCTCTGGGAGCCAGGGGTGGGAGCCCCACGCTTGGAGGGTGACAGGCAGTGCTGTCACCCAGGTGGCTGCAGGGCCAGCTGCATTCCAAGCCTCTGGCATGGGCAGGCAGGGAGGGGAGGGCCTGTCAGCTGCTCTGTGCCCTCAGCTCTGCCCAGGGCAGCTGTGCTGGGAGGGAGCCAGCTCAGGGTGGTCCCCTGTGCCCCAATGGGGACCTCACTGGGCACAGCCTGAGCTGGGCTCCCAGAGCCGCTTTGGGAAGGATGCAGGGAGGAGTTAACCCTGCTGTTCTGCAGTTTCATCCCCCAGGTTGTGGTTCTGCATGACCAGCAGCAGGACTGCTTCAAAGTCATGTTCCAACTTGATTTTTTTCAAGGTTATTCAAAATTCAGTGCAGGAATGGCACCAGGACCTCTCACAAACAGAAAGGCCAAGTCACCCCCTCCTAGTCCTTGACCTTCTCCACGGCTCAGCTGGCTCTCCTTGCTTTCCCCCATACTTGCCTACACTGCAAAAGGGATGATCATGTGAATATTACAAAGCCTGGCATCTGCACATCAGCTGCAGCAGCTGAGGCTCTGACATGCTCCCGGTGCCTTGGTGTGACCCTGTCCCCACAGCCATGCTCTGTCACCTGTGTGTTCAGCCCCCACCACAGGCTGTCACTGCCAGGCACACAATAATACAGAAATACATTAGCTGGGAACTCGTGCTCCCTCCTGGGAAAAGTGCTATGGATCTGTGAGCCACTGCAGAGACCCGGAGCATCAGGAGGAGCTGCCTTTGTGCCAGTGTCCAGAGAAGACCCTGGGAGCTGAGCCAGGTCCTGTGAGACATTTTAATCCTGCCTGTTTCACAGTCCATCTTGGCCATGATTCCACTGCAGTGAACATTTTCCCCTTCCTTTGTTAGGGGCACTCACAGGCACCTACTTGGTGTTTGTTTTCACTCCTTATCTGGTGCCAATGGGAGCAGGCAGGGCAGCAGTGCAGCAAGGAGAGTCGAGGAGAGTGGGAATACACATTCCCACTGTTGTCTGGCCACCCTGGAGACCCCTCGATCCTCTCCCTAAAGCCAGGCTGAAATTTCTTTCTGCTGAGGTAGCTGTTTGTTACATAGTTGAGGTTACTTGAGTAATCAATAGTTCTCTGGTTCCCAACAGAAATATTATCCCTTTGGCCAAATCAGCTTTTCTATCTTTGCTATAAATCTGCTCCTGCCTCTCAGCTGTTGAAGGATCGAGGTGCATTCCTGATTTATCTGCACAGAACCCCACTCCTCTTCTTTCCTCCTGCCAGCACCACTTTCTCTCTCTGAGGTTAAGCTGTAAGGGCTGGAAGCACACGGAGAAATCACTGGAGTCATTGAACTCTTCAGTCTCAGCCCTTCTCTTGGCCCTGCCCCAACTGCTCCTTCTCTGTGCTTGCTTCTCCAAGGAGAGAGGTGAGAGTCAATGGGATCCTCACGGCCAAGGGCACTGCTGACATAACTCCCAGTCCATGGACTCCAAAGCAACTTGGCTCAGCTGCTGCCAGCTGAAGAAAAATTGTTCCCATCCCACAGCAGGAGCTGTATCCTGGAGAACCAGGGCTGGAAGACAAGGTTCCATGGCTGCACATAAATTTTCCTTGCAAACAGGCAAAGGCACCAACTCCCAGGAGCTGGATTTCTGGTTCCACTCCAGCAGCCAAAGGCTGGGCTGTGGCTCTGGGCTCCAGTTTCCTGTGACTGAAGGAGGCCATGAGGTTTGTTCTGCTGCTGGGGCAGTGGAAACAACCTTGCTGTGCATTGTGAGCATCTCTGCACATCTCTGTTCTTTCCAAACCAGAAAAGGTCACAGAGACCCAAGAGAAACCCATTTCCCTCCTTCATCGAACTCCTTCTGCCTCACACATGCTTTTGTTGCCATCCCTTGCTTGCCAAAGGCAGGAACAAACAGTGGGGTTTGGCAGGGCTCAGAGCCTTGGCGTGTTGGATGGGAAAGAGGCATTCTTGGTCCTCAGCCCGGGGACAGGGCTCTGCTCCACGTCCACTGCCAGATTTTCCAGCTGCGATTTCGCTGCTCATCCCATGCTGAGGGCACTGCTCCTGGGATGGGGAGCACCCCTGGGTGCTGGGCTGTGAATCCTGCAGGAGATCCATGGAAGGAGGGAGGGAATAGCTGGAGCAGGACCCAGAGCTACGTGAACCCTTGCATGCTGCTGTGGCTGAGCTTCACATCCAGGGGAAGTGCAGGAGGAGCTGGTGCTGCCCTGAGAGGCTTTTCCCAAAGAATGCCCGATTCCAGGGTAGCAGGGAAAGGCAGAGGGAGGCCATGTAAAACCAGGCTGTCCCTGCTTTGGTTAAATAGGCTGGTTTTGCTGACAGCTCCTCCTGAGAGACGGCAGGGAGGGATTCTGTAACTCAGGGGCAGCTGAGAGGCTCTTGGCAGCTCCCGCTGTTTCAGTGTCAGGCACTGGACTTTTCCTGGTGCTCAGGGGAAAAGGGGTGGCAGCCCAGATCAGAGATGGCAGGGCTGGGCAGATGAGAGGCTGCTGCCTCCCTGTTGGAGGGATGTTCTGGAGAAACAGCAGGGCCTGATTTCAGAGAAGCATTTGAGGTCTCAGTGCACAGTGATCGCCCCAGAAACTTCCTACTCAATTTTCTGCTGTGCACAACCCAGTCTGAGGCAGCACAGGGGGCAGTTTACTCCAACACTGGTTAAGACAACCCGCAGATGACAAGCCCCAGAGAGGGGTGAGTGTTTCTTATGGTGGTGAAGGGCTGAGGGAGAAGAGGGAGCAAGAAGATGAATTTCCTGGTTGTGGTAAAGGTGCTTGAAGTTAGAGAGAATGGGCTTGTGGTCATGCATCAGGCCAGGGAAAGGAAGGCATGGGTCAGCAGCAAAACTCAGCAGAACAAACCCCATTTGCCCCTCCATGCCAGCCCAGGAATGAAGGACAAACTACAGCTCCCCACTCCCTTTCCCCACCTTGCTCTGCTGCAGAGGACAGAGCACAGGGGGAACAGCCGTGGACTGAGCTGGGGGCAGGGGCCTGGCAGTCAAGAGTCAGACTGAGGAAAGATCTCAGCTGAGACAAGGGAACCCTGAGCAAGCACATGTTCAGAGTGAGAGGCTCATACATTCCCCACCTGGTTAATGCTGGCTCAGCCCTCTGGAAAATGACACACATTTTCCTTGCTGTGGGGCCAGAGGGCTGTGCTGGGAGCTCTCTCTGCTCCCCCAGCCCGGCTGCAGGCAAGAGGTGCTGCTGGCAGGGTCCAGAATCACTGTTCTTTCCCCTTTTCACAGCTGTTGCTGGTTATGAAAACGGGAATGATCCCCAGGCAGTTCTCAGCAGGAACTGCCCTTTCCAGGGCTGACCGCATGGGCTCTTTCTTCCTCTTCCCACCTCCTGACAGCAGTCACAGTTTTGGGTACGTTCTAGTCTTGGCAAAGCACTGCCCTTCCCTGCTCCTCTTCCTCACATGACACACAGGAGAGAGAGGCTGTGGCCTGTGGAAGGGGAATGTTTGTTCCTGGACTGAGATCAATACAATTCTTGAGGCAGTCCTCCTCCCAAAGCTCACAGAGAGAAAGAAGAAAAGTCGGGATTGGTCTCACACAGTGGGGATTTATTACACCCCAAACTGTCAGTCTGTTCCTAGCACAGAGATCCTGACACCAGCTCCCCTTTTCCCAGTGCAGGATGGGGGGCACAGCTTGCAGGAACACCAGGGCATGTTGTGGAACATTATTTCTTGTCACATCTGATGCAGAGTGTCCACAGCACAAAGGAACACTGGGCAAAGCTTAGGGAAGGCAGGCAGGAGACAGCAGGGCTTGCTGCTGCTGCTGGAAGCTGAGGGCACAGAGCTCAGCAGAGGGGTCAAACACAGGAGTTACCACAGATTTCAGAGTAGGAAACACCAGGATTCAGAGCTTAAGCCAGTTTCTAAAAGAGCTGGACTAGCAGGAAAGGGGAATGACTCCAGGCCAGCTTTCTGGCAGTGCTGGATACTCAGAGGACACTGATGGCACAGAAAGGGGTGGATTTGGGCCACATCCTAGCCAGGAGCTTGGGAGTCCTTTGGAAAACCCAAATAATGCAACTGAGCTAAGTCAGAGAGAAGTGGTCTGGCTAAGGCCAAGGTCAGTCTGAATAATTCCTTCCCCTCTCTCTTCTGCTTTTGTGCAGCGAGGCAGGAAGCTGAAAATTCTCTGGCTTATTTTGGGAGTCCAGAGGTCAGTGACTATTGATCATCCTGGCTCTGAGGAACACATGAGTGTGTTAGCACTCAGCACCCTCCTCAGCACACATCCACAGAATTTCCTGGCTTTTTGTTTCAGAACTCAGGGAAAATTCCTGCCACCAGCGCTGAGTTAAATTGAAAGTTGGTAAATTCAGGAGGCTTCTTTTGACAAGGCCCTAACCTTTGGAATTGCTTCAAGAGATGGTAAAGTCAAATAATTACTGGTTTGGAAAATCCTGATGGTTTTATGACCTTTCACAATGTCTGTACTTCTGTACCCAGACAAGGGTCACCACACTGCTCCAAGACATGACCAGAGGGATAAAGGAAGAGTTCTCTTCCTGTCTTTCCCTGTCCTGGTGTGATTGCCATTGCTCAGCTCTGTAAAGCACAGGAATTACTCCAGGCCAGAGCAGAGTGGCTGGAGTGCTGAGCCTGTTCCCATAAACCCCACTTTGGGATGAGAATTCAGGTCTCTCCACGACCTCCCGACAAGTGAGGGAATGTGGATGTGGCCACATTCTTCTGAAGGGGCTTCGGAAGACCCTGCTGAGGGCAGTTGTGCTTGGAAGTTGTGTATCCTTGGAAGTTCTGCTGAGACCTTTCCCCTCCCAGGTGCTTTGTGGGATTGAAGCCCAAACTTCCTTGGAGGCCAGGCAGCCATGGGGAAAGGCTTCATCCACCACCTTCCCATGGCAGCAGGAGCCAGTGGTGCTCAGTTCACTGGAGCTTTCCCCCACTAGCAGCTCTCTGTGAGCAGTGGATTATGCCCTGGCAACAGGGACACCGCAACATGCAAACCCCAAAACTGCAGCGCCTGCTCCACTACACAGCAAAATAGGTCGTGCATCAGCAAATGAAAAAGGACAGATGGTGTCTGCTAATACAGCTTAGTTTATGGCCTGCAGGATTAACTCACTAGTTGTCATGTCTGCAGAAAATAGGAAATGGGTGGGTCAGCTGGAGGAAACGTGTGGTGTGCCCAGCCCTACCTGTGCTGTGGGATGCACCAGCTGGAGAGGATGTCAGAGATCCTGTGAGGTTTTGAGACGTTGCTGAAGGGCTGCCAGTGTCTTTTGGGGGCTCTGGGCACTGGAGATAGTGTACCAAGCCTTCCTGCCCACCTCGGATTCCCACAGTCCCACTGCAAAGGTCAGCGCCGCAGGGATTGACGTGAGCTGAGCAGGGATCTCCAGCAGACACAGGGACACCCTCTGTGGTCTCCAGCAGCTCTTCAGGAGGAACCCACAGCTTCCTGTCCTCTGCCAGCTGCAGGACAGTCTCTAGTTCAGCCTTTTGAACTCCCAAGACTCCACGTGTCTGCAGGAGTAAGACTGAAAGCTGAGGCAGAAGCCTCAGGTCTTTTCAATGCCTTCTCTGTGACACACTGTTCTCCTTTCCTGGAAACCAGGCCAGTGCTTCACTCTGTTCTCCTTGCAGAAATCCAAGCCCGTGCCAGAGCTCTGCCTTGTGCATCTGCTCTCTGAAAGGCAGGACAAACTCTTCCTTAGCTCTCCATGGGTGCTCCTCCTGAAGATTTCACTTTGATCTTGCAGCTTCTGCTGTGGCCAGGTTTGCTTGTGTCCTGCAAGATGCTGAGCATCCCAAAAAACAGCTGGCATCAGGAAGATACTCCAGAGCCAGGAGCATGCCATGCCATGCCATCTCCATGTCTCTTGGCCTTCTGCCGTCACGGGTGTTTGTCACCACCACCTTTCAACCACAGCCAGCCATCACAGGCACTGAGGTTTTCTCCAGTGACTAATTTGCCTGTGTTTACGCCAACACCAAATACTTAATTGTCTATTTAATGACTCAGGTGAGGAGGGAGTCTGGCTCCTTCCTCCTGCCATAGGGATCTGGCAGCACCCTACAATGCTAAACCTTCTCAGTTATAAATCCCCCATCATTAAGGGTAGCAGGTCAGTGGTGAGAGTGACTTGAGAGCAGGGATCATTGTCACTTCTATCCCCAAAGCTTTTCAGTGAGCGTGGAGGTGAATAAAGAACACAGAACAGCCTGTGCTTTTATTACAAAAGGAAAAGCTGCTTATTGTAGAGGGGAAAAGCATGTCAGATTACTATTATAAGTAATTGCTTAATGGCCCCTACCTTTGCGTCATTGCTGAAGCACATCCGAGTCCCTTTTTGGGGTCTCTCCTCGCTGCACGTGTGCCACCAACAAGGCCAAGCCTGCGACCATCCCTCCTGTGGGAGCCCTGCAGGAGACAGGATGGGGGAGCTATGTGGGCATGAGAGCCTCCACATTCTTCCCCCTCGAAATCTCCCCACCTCCCACCTCTTTTATCAGCTGCTGACAAGACTTGCCATGTGTGTAGGCGGCTCCCAAGCTTCCAAGATGATTCCCCGCTCCCCCCACCTCCCATCCATGAGAGGAGCGCCCAGGATTTTGGGGAGGGGGAGCGCAGCGTTCCTCCGGCTGCCGGCCTGTTCGGATGCTTTCAGAGAGCTCCATGTGGTAACTCTCTCCCAGGATTTCACATGACAGCCTCTTCCCCAGAAAGTCACAGCAGGGAGTGGAAGATTGCCCTGCGTGTGGGTGTTAGGAGGGAGCAGAGTGGGATGGGGAGATGGAGGGGAGAGGAGGTGCAACCACAGACTAAACCAGAACAAATCCTCTTGGAAGAGCCTTGCATTTCTGATCCCAAGGCTCCCATCTCCTGCCTCTTCCTCTTCATTTAAAAGGCTGTCAATCCTTGTTAAGTCCAGCAGAGAAAAGAAGAGTCAAGCACAATCATCTCCTTCCTTCCCTGAACACATCTCAGGGGACCAGGAGAGGCAAACAGAACACGAACTAACCGGATAGGGGCAGAGATGTGCACACTGGGGAGAGCCCTCCCCAGCCACGGGTGTCTTCCCTGGAGAGACATGAGCGGCCGCTAATGACATCTCCATCTGACAAATGATCACAGTGCATGTCATTACAACCCAGCGCTTCCCCGGGGCCCTGGCAGAAAATGACCCCAATGAGCTTCAGTTCTTGCAATCACAGCTGCTCCCCACGAGTGTTCAGCATCACTCATTGTAGAGCTTTGGGCTCTCAGGGTTAAGGCTTGCCCAATGCCTCAGGCAAGGCGAGATTGAAACCCCTGCTCTGGAGCTAGAACCCCTAAAAGAGGAGCAGGGAAGCCCACGAGCCCATGGCACAACTCCCCAGGGCAGGGAGCTGGGGGGACACCTCGCACTGCACTTCTGAGAGGTTTAAAACTACCTCTGTGCTACTTAAATCTGTCTGTCCCTCTCATCTTCCTCCAGATGCCGTGAGTGCAGCACACCTCAGGTGGGTCCCGTGGTGGGTCCTCAGTAGAGAAACCCCTGAAACTGCCATCTGCATTTTGGCATCCTGAGGCACCTGGATCCCTTTAACAGCCCTGGCTGTCCCACCTTAATAAGGCCAAAGGTCTCAGCCTGCCCAGCAAAACCAGAGCTGAGTCATTCTCGAGTCTCCCTGTGCAAAAACAAGGAAGAATTCCTGGTGTAAAGCTGCTCCCCTCCTTCCTGCATTTCATCAGCAAGCAGCCACACGAGCTGGGTTTTCTCTAAAGTCCATCTGCTCTGCAATGCAGCCTGTCCCCTTTGATTAACCCCTCATCCTTGCTTGGGAAAAGTGGGAGAAACCCTGAGGAGACCCACAGACTTCTAGAGAAAGGAGTGTAGGGAGGGGTTCACTCCTCAGTGCCTGCATTCCAGAGGTTTAAGTCAGATTGGATCTTTGTATGTGCTAAATTAGCTGTTTCAACACCCCCTGTGTCCTGCAGGCCAGGGAGGAGAGCACCAGGCAGGTATTTCCCATACCTGTGATATTTGGGTCACCAGGAAGGGGGGAAAAGTGGACAAAAGGGATGTGGTAGGAGCTGGAATTTCAATTTTATCGGCTGCAAACCCAAACCGACGTGCTTCCTGCCAGTGTCCCACCGCAGCGATATTCCCGGCCAGGCACACCCCGGTTCCTCCACGCAGTCTGACTTTCACAATCCCTTCCCAGCAACCCAGCCCCTGCTTTCACTCTCTGAATTACCAAGGGGAATTTTCATTACATCACCAGAGGCACTTCCTCCTCGACAGTGATAGAGCTGTCACTCTGCTTTGCAGGGGGTTTTTGGGGTGTGAGTGACGAGGGTATTTCTCTGGAAAGAGAAATGCCTCCCAAAAGCAGGTCCAGCCCAGCTCAGCCTCCCCCAGTGGCTCCATCCAGCCTGGGAACGGCACTGGGCAGTGTGGGGTGGCTCCAACCGGTGTCTGGACAAAGCCTTCTCCCTGGAAGCCTTCCTGGGGGATACAGCACTTCCAGGCAGCTTTAAAAGTCGCCTGTGCCAAATCCAGCGGGGTCGGAAGTCAGCAATCTTCCAGCTTTCTGCCAGCGTAAGCAAAAGGCAATTTGCCTATTGGAGCTGGGATTTGCAGAATGATTCGCTGCAGCGTTTGAATCCCCCTCCACGCCCCCGCCTTCTGTATCGTTTTTGTTTGTTTGGTTTGGGTTTATATTTTCAAATATCCCCCAGTTTAACGGTCAGGCTGGTGGCAGTTTCCCCGCAGCTCCGGGGAGGGGTTGATCTGATCTCACTCCCAATCCAGTGACTTCCCAATCAGCAGCTGGCTTTCCTGCCCTCTGCTTCCAGTTCCTGGCTGTTTGTCTTGGGGTGTTTTTTGTTTTGGTTTGGTTTTTTTTTGAATCAAAACAAACTACCGGGTTCAAACTGCTAGTCAGGAAGCCGCTGAGCAGGAGCCTTTGCTCCTGGCAAGGGCTGTGGAAACTCGCCATGGAGAAACACCTCAGCCATAGAGAACTTGTTTTTAAGTAGCTGGGATGTCTGGACCACAGTGGGGTCCGGACAGTTGGAAATCTGTGTCTCAGAGCTCCATAAAAGCACTGAGTTCCCTCAAATATAACCACTGGCAAGAGCTCTGCACAGCTTGGGAGGAGGGAAGATGGCTCTGAAGTCACTCGGATTTACCCTGTCCTCCCCCAGCCTTGCTGGTATCGTGATTCCTCATATAAGGCAGTGAAGAGTCATTTCTGCCCCATCAGCCCATCCTTTCCCAGGAGCTCCAGATGGTTTTGCTCTCTGTCTCTCTGCGTCTGCACTACTGGTAATTCAGGCCTGTCTCACATTAGCTTTTGAGCTGAAACCTTCCCACAATTAGTTAGAGTCTGCTTCTGCGCTGCAGAGGACGTAGGGCTGAGCTGGCAGAGCGCTGTCTGGGAGATCCGTCCCACACAAGTCCTGTTCAGAGTTCTCTATTTCAGTCAAGAAGTGTGATTTTTCTAGTGAAATCATCAAAGCAAGACAGTCTCTGCTACAGATGGGCAGCGACAGCCATTTGAAGATGCCTCATACCTGGCTTGTCTCAAGACAGAAGTTGTTATTTTCAATATAATCTCATTTTGTACCAATATAACATCTCTCCCTTCTTCATCTGGCTCTCCTTTCCCAAGGAAAAGGGTCCTGTTCCTCTGGGAGCTCCACACCACGAAGTATCAGGGAAATCTTCATGCCTGCCCAAGGATCACAGCTCAGCAACTCACTGTTCAGGGAAAATGTGCTCCACAGACACCCTGGAAGCATCCCTGCTTCTCTTGGAGCAGAGCTGTTTGGCCCTTGCCAAATTAACTTGCTAATTAACAGAGTTTTTTGATCCCAGGCAGGAATTTACCACTCTGAGGCCAAACCTAAGTGTGGTCCAAAACTTCCAGCTGGTCCAAAGCCCTGTGTGCTGTGGCAGGAATGTGAAGAGCTGACAAATGTCTGGGGAATGCAATCTCTGAGGAAGGACTTGGGTGTAGCAGACATCTTGGGATAAGCAGTAAGGGAGGGTGTATGGCAGGCACAGAATTAATGGAGAAGGAGCAGAGGGAAAAGCAGGAATGCTGCAGGGCATTTAGGAGAGGAGGAAGCTTCATTTGTGCAGGTGATTTACTCCTTCTGTGCCTTCATTCACCCATCAGACAGGGAAGTGTCATCATTATCCCCGCTGTGCCAACAGATCTGGGGTCTTTGCCTACAGCAACCCAGCAGCACCAGCACTGAAATCCTGGTTCCTTGTTCCCATCCCAGCTCTTGGAAGGATCCTGGTAATAATAATCATGCAAACAGGCTTTGCTGAGGGAGATGATTTCAGGAATGGTGATAGCTGGGAGACAGTGAGGAAGCCACACTTGTCACATGAATAACCACAGTCTGTCCAGTTAGAGCTGACAGTCTAAGGAAAGGCAGCTCCTTCTGTGCTGATTTAAGAGTCTCTTCGTAGACACAGCAGATCTTTCTGCTTCACCTCCCCTGCATAATAAGAAGAAGCATCTTTCCTGTTAGTTTATCTGCCTTTGGATGGGATGTGAGGCTGGCAGACCCCTCTGGGCATGGGGAAACCTTGGAAGGAAATGAAGGCTTTTAACTTTCTGCATGAGCGCAGTGAGAATGTGGGTTGTAGTTTCAGTTCCTCTAAACCTGGCACTCAGGGAGGAGTTCCAAGCTGAGTAAATCTTTACAAGATCTTCAGAAACGTTATCAAGGAGGGACTCACAGCGAGGGACAAGGTGCTCCACTGGGATAGATGGATTTAGAGGGGGCTCCTGAGGTCATAGACACCCCTCTCCAGTGAGAGATGCTAAAAAGCAAATTGCCCCAGGGTTTCTTATAAATAGGAACCTTTTTTTTCTGCAAAATTCAGCCAGACAATTCCCCCCATTCCAGGCCCTTGGTGAGGGAGCCATGGCAGTGCTGAGTGAGGGATGTTGAGGAGGAGATAAATAGTAAAAGGCTGAAGGGTAAATAATAGAATAAGCCAAGTCATAAGGAACCCATCAGAATCGAGTCCAACTCCTGGCCTTATGCAGGATACCCCATGAATGCCACCATGTGCCTGAGAGTGTTGTCCAAACATTGAGGGAATCAGGGCACTGAGGGAAAAACGGAAGCACTGAGTGGACCCAGGAACTGAGGGGAGCAGGGTGTTATGAGGAGCCAGAGTGCTGAGGGGAAATGGGGAGCTGAAGGGAGACAGGGGTGTTTAGGGGACATAGGGGCACTGAGGGGAGCCATGGATGCTGATGGAACTGGGAGGCTGAGGAGAGTCGGGCACTGAGGGGAGCCAGGGGCTGAGGGGAGCAATGGCGCTGAGGGGAGATGGAAGTGCTGAGGGGAACCAGGGGCTGAAAGGAGATGGAGGCACTGAGGGGAGACAGGGGCTTAGGGGAGCAATGTCACTGAGGGGAGTAATGGCACTGAGGGAGATGGAGGCGCTGAGGGGAGCAATGGCGCCGAGAGGAGCAATAGTCTGAGGGGAGATGGAGGTGCTGAGGGGAACAATGGTGCTGAGGGGAAATTGAGGCACTGAGAGGGAGATGGAGGTGCTGAGGGGAGATGGAGGCACTGAGGGGAACAATGGCGCTGAGGGGAGATGGAAGTGCTGAGGGGAGCCAGGGGCTGAAAGGAGATGGAGGCACTGAGGGGAGACAGGGGCTTAGGGGAGCAATGTCACTGAGGGGAGTAATGGCACTGAGGGAGATGGAGGCGCTGAGGGGAGCAATGGCGCCGAGAGGAGCAATAGTCTGAGGGGAGATGGAGGTGCTGAGGGGAACAATGGTGCTGAGGGGAAATTGAGGCACTGAGAGGGAGATGGAGGTGCTGAGGGGAGATGGAGGCACTGAGGGGAACAATGGCGCTGAGGGGAGATGGAAGCGCTGAGGGGAGCCAGGGGCTGAAAGGAGATGGAGGCACTGAGGGGAACAATGGTGCTGAGGGGAAATTGAGGCACTGAGGGGGAGATGGAGGCGCTGAGGGGAAGCAATGGTAGTGAGGGGAGATGGAGGCGCTGAGGGGAGCAATGGCACTGAGGGGAGCCAGGCGCTGAGGGGAGATGGAGGCACTGAGGGGAACAATGGCGCTGAGGGGCGGGGGGCACTGAGGGGAGCCCAGAAGCAGAGTGGGGGCTCAGCTCTACCTCGCTGAGATGTTTCAGAGCCACTCGGAGGCACCGCAGCCGCGGGACGGGCGCACGGACGGGCACCGCAGGCTCCGGGACTGCCCGGGGGCGGTGCCCACAACCGAAATGGCGGCGGCGGCGGCCGCGCCCGGTGCGGGGCGGGACGAGGCGGGGCCGCGCTCACCCGGCCCCGGCGCCGCTTTCGTTACAGCGCGGCCGAGGCAGCGCCCGGCGGGACGCGGCGCCCGGAGCCCCCGGACTGATCCGCTGCCTCCACCTCGGACCCCACCGCCGGTGACACCGCCGGGCTAACCTCGCCGCCATGGGCTCCGAGCGGGACTCCGAGTCGCCGCGCTCCTCATCCATCCACTCGGCCGCCGCCAAGTGCCCCAAGCCCGGCCGCCGCCGCCGCCTCTCCTTCCAGAGCGTCTTCTCCGCCGCCGCCGCCTCCGCCGCGGGCGGCCGCCGCCGCGCCAAGGCCGAGCCGCCCCCGGCCGCCCCGCCGCCGCCCCCCGCCGCCCCGCCGGCCCCGCCGCCGCCGCCGCCGCCGCCACCGCCGCCCACCGAGGAGGCTCCGGTGGTCCCGGAGGGCGAGGAGGAGCTGGAGTGCCCGCTGTGCCTGGTGCGGCAGCCGGCGGAGAACGCGCCGCGGCTGCTGTCGTGCCCGCACCGGTCGTGCGGGGCCTGCCTGCGGCAGTACCTGCGCATCGAGATCACCGAGTCCCGCGTCAACATCTGCTGCCCCGAGTGCAGCGAGCGCCTCAACCCCGCCGACATCCGCCGCCTGCTCCGCGACTCCCCGCACCTCGTCGCCAAGTACGAGGAGTTCATGCTCCGCCGCTGCCTCGCCGCCGACCCCGACTGCCGCTGGTGTCCGGCCCCCGACTGCGGGTGAGTGCTGCGGGGGACCAGGGCTGGCGGTGGGATGCTGCCACTCCGTGCTGGGACAGCCCCGGCAACGGAGGACCTGAGCCCTCGGGGAGTGGGGAACCGCTGTCCTCTCCACCCTGGGACAACCTGCTGTCCTCCCTGTGGAGGGGGACACTTCTGTCCTTTCCATCGTGGGACAGCTTGGCAGGGGAAACCTGCTGTCTCCGTAGGGTGCTGCCCCATCTGTCTGTCCTGGTGCGTCTTGGGGAAGGTAGACCCTCGCCCTGGAGGGATGCTGCCTGTCCCCAACCATGCTGGGATAGCTGGGTGAAGAGGAACGCGCTGTGGGTTGCTGTCTGTCCCCAGCAGGACAGCTGGGATAGCCCTGGGAGTCACTGTCCGTGCCCGCGTGGGTCCCAGGACAGCACAGAGAGGGGTGGCTCACCCTCAGTAGGGTGCTACTGCTGATACACTTCTGGTCCTGCTGTGTCCCATGAGGAGCCCTTGCTGCAGGGGTTCTTTGCTTATCTGCAGTCTATTCAGGACAGCTGATAGGCCTTGGGTACCAAAATTCCATCTATCCCCATTATCTCTCAAGAGCTCCAGGATTTGACCTTGGGGATTATGAGAACACAGACAAATCGGGCAGGAGTGATATGTCTCTAAGGGGGTTTTAGGCAGAGCCGTTGCTTCCCTAATATAACAGAAACCATTTTTTCTGCACAAGTGGTAAGCGTGGATTTTCCCAGTGCTTTTCACTGCCAGTGCTGGGGACAGTGCATGAGGACAACGCTGCAGCCTCCAGTAGTGGGGAAGAAGGGACTGTAACCAGTCACTTTTTCCCAATGAGGACGTGAATACACAACAGAGAAGAGTGATGTTGACTCACTGTCCGTTGCCCAAGTGAGGAAACGTCTGTCTGTCCAGAAGCCAGCCCAGCCAAGCCTGATGACTGTGTAGTTATGAACGTGTTGCTTTCGTTTTCTCTTCCCTTTTCTTTTAAACGACCTCTGTTGGGTTTCTGTTTTGGGCGTGAGCCAAAGCTGCCTGGAAAAGGGCTTGGTCGGAGAACTTAAGAGAAGCGCTGTGAAGTTGAGCTATAACTCAGCTTGGATGGCAATTTTGGGTAGCAAGAACGTGGAAGGAAAGTCTGACCTAGTAGTCGGAATGGAAAAAGTGGTGGGAGGATTGTGAAGATTTAATCAGAGCCTTGTAATAGGCATCCTATGCAAATCAGAGAACCTGGCTCAGGTTACCCATTTCACGGCCTCTTGAGCATCCTGTATAAGGGCTTGTTCCTTCAGACGGTGAAGTTAACAGCAAACAACACCTTTGCTCCTTTCTGAAGCCAAATCAAGTGCAAGATCTCGATATTTCAGCAGCGCTGGGGATAAGATCGGGGAGATAGAGCAGCCACGGAGGGAATGCCTCTGCTGGCAACCAGCTGGAGAAAATCCGGTTCCTGCTCACCGAATCTCAGTTCCTTGAGTGTTGTGATGTTATCTGTGCCTAGGATAAGGTGTACAAAGCTGGGCTGGCTGGTTGGAAGGAGCCAGCTCCAGCGCAGCCCCGGAGGGCGTTGCCTCTGTGGCAGCAAGGCAGCCTGAGCCTGGTCCCTTCCTCTGGGGGGGTTTGGGCAGGCTGGTGTCACTCACGGCTCTTTCTCTGAGCCAAAGCCACCTCCCTGGTTAGTCAGGGAGCAGGATGAGCCAGGTGACATGCTGGATCCTCCTCCCAGCTGCCCAGAAGAGCAAGAAGCGACCCCGGGGCTGTTGGAGATGTTGGAGACGGCTCTAGTGGACCGGCGCTGCTGGTGTGTCTCTAGCGCTGGAACAAAGGCTGTTGGAATCAGCCCTCCGGCAGGGAGAGGAATTAATCACCCTATTCATTCTTCCCAGCAGAGCTTGTGTGGCTGTGCTTATGTAAAATCAGGGTATGAATTATTTACAGCGGGCTTTCCCCGCTGTAGTAATGCCGGAGTAGTACAGAGCGTAGGGCTGGGGGCACGGCAGAGTGATGTTTGGCACTGAATGTCACCCACCACTGTCACCCGAACTGAAACCTGCCAGCAACGACACTTCAGTGTCAGAGAATCATGGCATTCCTTTATTCTGGCCAGGATGTGCAAGAGAAATCATTTCATCCACACATGCCTGGCTTGTGCAGTGAAAATCCTTCCATCCCACCTGGCTCTTTACCAGATTTTTCACATATTTATACATTCAAAACCTCAAAGAAATTCACGTTCCTTGATCTTAAATTACGCAATGATTCGATCTCCTATTGGTTATTGATCCCTTCGATGCTAATTGAGCCCTCATTCTTTGGTTCTCTTATCGATCTTTTCCCAGACCAGGTGTCTCCAGCCTCACCGGGGGGGTGATGTTTGTTGATGTCCGTGTATTTCCTCTGTTTCTTCCTGCTCCTCCCAATCTGTTGATGTTCAGCTCATGAGGCGACACCCGGGCTTTTGAAGAGAAACTTCAATTCCCTCCCCCTGGGCAAAGGCGAACAAAACCCCTGAGTGAAGTTACAACAAAAATGCTAAAAGTTGTATCATTATCAGCACCACCGAGGTGCCCCACGAGGACTGGGGTGACACTGGTGGTCACCCCCACCGAGGTGGCGGCATCAAGGGGCTGCAGGGCTGTGACAGGACCCTAAAAACATCCTGTGCCTTCCTCACAGCGTTTCCTAAATGAAAGATCCTGGCTGTGCTGCTCGGGGGGAGGAGGAGGAGGAGGAGAACACAACACCGGTGCGTGTTGCCGTGGAAACCCTGGTCAATTGATGCGCCATCAATCGCAAAAACAAATCATTTTCTGTGTTTGCAGCTCCGGGTTTTGTTTTTTTCCCCTTGCTACAATCAGGTGGTATCGCTGTCTAGTGTTTGTCACACTGCAGCCTTCCCAAAAGCTTGGGAGAAAAACAGAACCTTTGAAGAAAACGGAGGTGTGTGGGCTGAGATCCGTGAATGGGCAGGAGGAGGGATGGAGGAAACTCGTGGCCATCCAAGGAGGGGGCTGGAAGCAGAGCTGTGCCATTCCTGGGGTCTCAGGAAGACACTCACATTCTTTGTGGGGAAAACTCAAGGAGGAGAACTCAGTTTCTCCTCTTATCTAAAGGGATTGAGCCTGAAAATGGCCATTTAAGCCAGCAATATGTTGGAGGTCAGTGGAAGAGGACAACCACTGTCTATCCAGGTCCTGCCATGACTGTTCCTCAGCATTTCACTTCAAAACCCACTTTCTAGTTGACCTTGACGTGGAGATGTGTTATTTCTTTCCCCACTAGACAGTCCTGGAGCTTCTTTCCCCACAGCTGTGGGCTTGTGCATATTTGTCATTTCAGCTCCAGCAATAAAATATAAATGCTGATGATTTTAATTTCTTGAGTGTTTAAAAAAACCCAACATTTTGAGTGAGGAGTTAATTTAGAGTGTGCTTAATATATTACACTGTGCTCTCCTAGGCTGCTGTTATGGTTTGAAATAGCAGTGTCACAACACAGCTGGGCAGATGAAGCTTTTCCTTTCTGTCTTGCCAAGGGCAGGCCAGGGGGTAGTGGCAGAGTGAGGAAATTTAGTGGAATATTCCTTAGAGAAGGTGCACAGGAATCAAATTCATCCCTCCCAACCCCCTGGACCATTTGTATCACATAATTATCATACAGGAACAGAGTGGTTTGGGTGGAAAGGGACCTTAAAATTCATCCACTCATGGGCTGGGACACTTCCAGGGCTGGGGTTGTCCCGTTTCTCCTCCTGCTGGGCTCAGGTGCAGGTGTGTGGATGCACAGGTAGAGCTGCAGTCGTGCCTGCCAGCCCTCAGATGTTGTTTCTTTGGCGATGCTGTCGTAGCCTGGTAGGATGAAGTTGCTCAAACTCCCACGGGATGTGAATCATTGTGGTATGACACATTCAGTGGTTCTCACGCCGCTGCCTCGGAGAAGAAGAGGCAAATACAACTGGAGCCACACGAGCTCTAAATATGAAACCTTAAATAGGAGTTGTTCTCTTCTGACCACTAACAAAAATACCCTTTTTGCCATATGGATGTTGCAGGACTGGGAAGGCACTTCTGGGATTGCTCATGTCAGCCCCTGCCAATGGAAACAGCCTCATCCTCAGTGACTGTCAGTCAGATTTCTGCAGCACTGCTTGGTGATGCTGCTTAGGCTTCTGTGTACACAGGACACTTCCTTCTGGGCGTGTCACACTGCTGTCACAGTGAGCTGGTTGAGCTTGGCCTCTCTCTCTTGCGCAGTTGATTATTTTGCTCCAGTTTTGGCTTGTTCCAAAGGCAGGGCATTGTTCTTCAC